TTCGAAATCAATTCGCTGGCCGAGTGGCACTTCGACGTTAAAGTCGGCACGAAATTAACCATTCACAACAAATTTCAATTCGAATTTTGCGCATGCGTGTTTAAACGTTCTCCTGACATTTTTTAGGTTAGTTGTTGGTTTTGATTTTGGAAGAGTCAAAATCCGAGACAGTTGTTAATTAAGTTTTCCAAGTTTTTATGTTTAGAAAAATGGAAACAAAAACGTCATTTACTGATGATTTTTTTCTAAAATGTGTCTTAAGCACCCAAAACTTTTTCTCGCCATTAAAATGGGTCGGACACCCCATTTTTTGGGTTTTGGTAAACCCTTTGGTTTTCGGTCAAGCTAATTATTGAGCTGCAATAATAATTGTCGTTTTTTTTAACAGCAAAGCCACAAGTCCTAATAAAATAAGAATAGCGTCCTTCGCTCATTTTTCTTTTAATAATTATTTACTTTTCACAGGAAAATGGCTTGTAACCACGACACAAACAAAATAATTATTAAAATTTAAATGTCAAATTTGTCATAATTGTCAAACGAAAATTCCGTGCTGAAGTGGAAGTTTGCAGCTTGCAAGCTTTCAATCCAACTTCAACTTGCACTCTGGCGTCGAATTTTGTTGTGAATGAGTACACTGAAGTACATAAGATAAGCTTGCGTGCCAAAGTACGACTCGGCCAGCGAATTGATTTAGAATGTAGCTTAAGACTTTCTGCCTGGGCAGCGAATATTAATCATAAACTGTTCTCTGGGTCTACAGTTAATTTTCACTCGATTTTTCCTCCACTTGATTTCAAAAGACACAAAACACACGTAATAACACGAATCAAAATGCATCATCTTCCAAAACGCAGTATTTGACTAAAAGTTGACACAAAATTCTAACCTATAATTTGGCAAGACTTTGACAAACGTCAAAAAAATCTAAAGGCGAGTTCATACGCATCGGCGTCCGTTTGTCGTTTATCGTTCCGTCAAACCAATAAAATTGAAATACGATCTGTCATTTTTGAAATAAACCAATAAAACTGGTTAAAAACAACAAGAGATGACGCATGACGGATTTATAATTAAACTCATCCATAGTTAACTTAAAAATTATTAGAAACTTTTTTTAGTTAAATAAATAGATTGGTATGGGACGTCATCTGCTTTTCTTCTGTCATCGTCTGTCGAAATCTTACCTGAGAAAAAAAACAGAGTATATCCATTCAACATGTACAATGTTTGTCAATAATGACATGCATTGACTATTTCGATTCCAAATATCTTCAGAACCATTACTGGTAGCGCGTTTTAACAAGAGACCTTTTTTTACGTAAAAAATGATGGAAGTGTATATTTTATCACTCGGTAATGCAATACAGGTACGGACGAAAAGTTATTACACTTGAAACAGCTAAAAAATATGTAGGTGGCGTCTCCTACAAGTAGGAGTCATACTTATATAAAAAATCGAATTTCTCATGTCAAAAAACACACAAACATCAATTTTTATCCAAATATCGGCGTTAGCTCAAAAGATATTTAGAGAAAACCGAAATAAAAACGAAACTTCTTCACCCTATATCTCCGAAACGAAAGTATTTTAGGACTTAAATTTATACGAACTTTTGAAGTGACACTTCTTTACGCGCGTTGCGTTGGGGGAGAAAATTCAAAGCCGGTGACACAGGACCTTGAATGACGGCCGTGCCGGCCGTGACGCATTAGCTGGCGGGAATGAGTGTGTTAACGACAGTGTTGCCACAGCCACGCAATTCGGGGTAGATCTACCCCTTTATAAAACAATTTAACCCCGCTATCTCGTGATAATCTACCCCGATGAAAAATAAGCTTGTGCCAACACTGGGTAACGATCTGTGCCATACGCGGCTAAGAAAATTACTATAATAAACTTGATGCTGTACCAACCTGTGGTTGTGTGCTAGAAAGTAAATTTTCATACATATTTTCATCAATAGGTTTGTAACTTCTGAACGGTCTAGGTAAAGCATCTAGGTTATTTGCCAGCTCAGAATCAGGATTTAGAGTTAGTAACTCGCATTTTCATTGGAGGACACATTTCATATTTATTTCCAACTAATAATCAACGAGAATATTCGTATAATTTAATAAAATTACTGTAAATCACTATAAATAATGAACAAAACAGACCACAGTCCACACAAAACAAATTGTTGGATAGTAGTCGTATTTTGGTTTAATGGCCACAGCTGCCAGGGCTATCCGGCCGTTTGATAGAATCATAATTTTTTAATAAAAATAAAAAAAACATTATAAAATTATAAAGCTAGAATGGTATACGGTTTTATATTAACTCTAATTTTTTGAAGTTTATAAAAAACATTCATAAAGAAATATATCCTTCAAATCATTCAATTTAATAGCTGTTAGTAAGAACCAACTGTTTTTTTACTTATTTTTATTTGCAGAATATGCTACCGAAGTTTCCCAAATACAATTCGGACCATCCTGTATATCATTTGACTATCAATTTCGATTTATCTGGAAATGAACCTAACCGAAGAATTTTTAAATGACGCCCTGTATACTCCTTTGGTTTTAATGGAAATTCAATATGGAGGCAATTTTGTAGTTACCCATAGAAATCAAATCAAACAAAGTCGAAAAATATTTTTTCTACGACTAGCCTCGAAAATGCAGTTTGACACATGGAAAACTCGATTTGAAATTGGCGTTTTGCAAACTGTTGTGTGCTAAGGATTTAGCGCACGACATGTGTCATTTTGCACACGACATGTGCCAATTTTACCATTTTTAACCTCCAATGTTTAGCTGAAACGCCAAACGCAACGCAGCCGTCAGAAAAGTGTCATCATTACATCGCAAATTATTTCACAAAACTGGCAAAAACTGAGTCTGCTGCTAATTTGTAGTCGTAGAAAATATAGCGTAAAAAACTCGTTCGAAAACTTCTTTGTACACTCGTTCGACTTGTGGCTCTTGCCTGCGGCTCGAACCAACCACAGATTATACAGATTATAAACTTTGTTTTTTCTTTATTGTTTTTCGTGGTTCCAATTTTCGGAATCGGGCACTAGTTAGGTTACTAGTTTGCGCACATAGCACGCCCACTTATGGCCTCCAAAAATTGTGCACAGCGCCTGACCGGCACAGTTATTAGAGAGATATCGGAAAACCGAATAGTGTCATGCAGTATTTACGGGTACCTTATCATGGTTACAATATGCGCGAGTCAATTTTTAACGCAACACCCGCTAATAACGTTACCGCTTGACGTAATTTGCGGATCAATTACACCAAGCGCTATTTCTAAATAACGTTTAAAAATTGATTAAATGGGCATGTGCGGCTATTTGACAACCGGGGCCGGTCGGCGAGATCTTTTATTTTAGGTTATGTTTGAATTGTTTTGAATTATTACTTTAGTTTTATTAGGTAATTTGATATTTAAGTAGCTGGGATTAGTTTTAATTAAATAAATATGGCCTAAAATATTGATTTCACCTCTTCCAATATTAAAGAACCTATAAAGAGGCTTAGGTTTAGAGCAGATGACGACTTAGCCCTTCTAAGAGAATTTGTTGCTTGTTGCCCTAAACCCACTGGCATACGTTGAACAATAAAGCACTGGGAATAAGCACTTTAGCCCTTTAGTTTTAAAATACCTAGTGAACAAAACAATTTCAAAGTTTTAGATTCAAAGTTAGGTTAAGTTTAAATAGCGGACGCGACGCGAACAGAATTCTTTCCGATCCGATAACTATAAATGAAACTCAATACCACCTCACGTAAAGGAAATAACACCTGGCCTTATTAACGTCCATGTACGCTATTCGGTTTAGCGATATCTCTCTATTACGCTGTTTATTGTTATTTTACGCGAGTTTATTTTTGGGCACAGGAAATTTTACTCGTTTGCACATCGTCATAAAAACAATTTTCGTACCACGAATTAGGGACAAGATTTTTATCTGTATACTTATAGGATACCTAATCTGTGAGCCAACAAACTGTCGAACTCGTGTGCAAAACGTCGTTTTCGAAACTCGTTGTTTAATATACTATTGTTGTTGATTTTGCAGTATTATAACAAAAATAAGTCTATTTAAATAACAGTCAAAACTTGCATAGAGAAGCTGAATAAATTAGGCAAAGAAAACAAAGTCCTCCTACACTGGGTGCCTGCTCACCAAGGGATAGAAGGCAATGAAAAAGCAAATAATCTAGCTAGGAAAGGAGCGAACACTCCACTAACTGGACCAGAACCGTTCTGCTTTCCAAGTGGTAACCAACTCAAGGCGGAACTCAAGAACTTAGAAGATTCCATCCGCAACCTGGAATGGAAATCTTGCAATGGTCTAAGACACTCGAAGAAGTTTCTGAGGGCTTATGATCAAGAAAAATCACAGATCTTCCTGGGTCTGAGTAAGAACAATCTTCGGATTGTCACGGGGTTTTTAACAGGACACTGTCTCATCAATGAACACCTCAGTAGATTGAAACTAAGAAGAAACGGCGAATGCAGATTCTGTGGGGAAGATGGTGAAACACCAGTACACCTCATCACTGAGTGCGCCGAGACGACAACCATTCGTGCCATGAATTTTGGTACGACTGATATTGGAGATGGAGAACTACCCTCTATAAAACCGTCCCAGATACTGGCTTTTGTCAAAGCCCTGGGACTGTATGATGAGTTATGATTCAAGAAAGGGGGACACAATGGATCTGTAAGGTCGAAGTGATTAACCCCCTCCCACTCATTCTAATTCTAAAAATTCTAACAGTCAAAACTTGTATAATTGTTTAATCTATGGGACATCAACATTACCATGAAAAATTACCCTACAATATCGTATATTTTAGAGACGCCCAGTTATTATTATGCAAAGTTTAAAACGCCTTTTTTATGTAAATGTTTAAAATGGACAAAAGTTCCAAATACCCAAACCTTCTCCATTTACGAAATTTGCGGATTACTAAGTGTAAAAATAATATAAAATAATTACCTTGCTTCTAGTTTCCCTTCTTTCTGGTTCACTTTCGCCTTTTGCTGCCACCGTTTGTATCTTTACTCTGTGCAACTTAGAAGTAAATGAATCGTTTACTTGAAATTCGTGCGATGACTCGATTTCCTTAGTTTTGGGAGTCTTTATCAATACACGCTGTGTAGCTTTCCCCATCGCGAGAGATTGCAAAGCACGAATGAGATCTCTATAAATAAAATTTGAATTCAGCGTCACAGCTAAAGTCCGCATTTTATGCTTATTTTATGATTTTTTTATTTATAGGCTTGGTGCATTCTCCGCCGGTGCTGCCACCACAGGAGGATATCGTAAACAACTACTATATATAAAATCACGGGTTTAAGCAGCGAGTATACGAAAAATGTATTACATATTTAATTATTCTAAAAGTGTTAGGAAGTATAATTTGCGAAAATTCTAAAAATAAAAAAGTAAATATTTTGACATCTTCAGAAGGTCTAACTTGTATTATAATTTGTTATTTCAGTTAAAAAAACTTTTTAGATGAGTTCAACTACGGTAGCGAGCATAGTTTTACGCACCGATTTTGCTAATGGAGATATAACTTGGGCTATTTTGGCTATAACAAAATTTTTTGAAGGTACATAATTATAATTTTAGAAGATATTCATAAAAAAATTAAGCACTAGTTGATTAAAAAAAAAGAGTATACCATTAATATTGCAAATTATATTTTATCCTCTCCTAGTATATGTCTATTTAAATTTTTGATTATACAGGGTGTCCCAGAAATAAGTGCAAATATTTTAACTGGTAGTATAGTTCAACCCCAGAAACACGCCTATGAGGTTTTTTTTGCGAAAAAAAAAATGTTGAAAATTTAAAATTTTTCTTGACATTTTTCGGGAAATTTAAAAAACTTTTTAGTGCCACTTTAGTATTCACTTGAGATTTCCCTACAGTGTATCTAAACCTTGCAGTGTTGCAACCTGCTATGTTATCCACATTCTACATAGTTCGGCGGAACATAGTTCTACATTTATAAATTCATAGACAAATTTCTACTCAAAAAATTAGGAATGTTAAATTTAATCTTTTATCAGTGCTCATTATTAATAATTATAGAAAAAAACAAATTAATTATTTTTAGGACTTACCCTTTCAATGAAACTTAACAAAAACCACCGAAAATTAACTAAAACATTACGTTTATGACGTTTACGAAAATCTTTGTTATGCTGCAAAATAACTTTATTTTGGAATAAATTTAATAAAATGATTCATATTATTCACAATCAGGTCGCAAAAAGAAATTCCTAAAATGTTTATCGTAATTTAGAATTCAATTCAAGAAATTTAGAAAACAGCCCAACGAATAATCGATTCATTTTTATTTTGTTTGTTTTCTTTCATGTTTCTCTGTTTTATTTGAACCACTGTTTTACAAAACACCTTGAAAAGGGCACATTACTTTGAATACCTTTCTGAATGTATAAATGTTGAGAATTATTGTCTCTTATCGCCACTTTACGAACTACTTTCAATCTAAGAAAATACATGTTTCACTCAATAATTTTAAATACGTATTTTGTTTTTTCGCTATTTTTCGATGTATTTCGACAATTCCATCGACAGCCTAACCGTCAGCCAAGAGAGAGCCGCGTGTGAACTGGTCCTTTGAGTCGCCGGTCGCCGCGCCGTCGTGGCGGGCTTGCGCCAGACGACGATGTTAAGCAACGTTGCCGTAGTTACAACAATTTCAAATTCAAGACATTCGAAGCAGTCAAATTTGTATTAAATTTTAAAAATAAAACAGAGAAACATGAAAGGAAATAAACAAAACAAAAATGAATTTTAAAATGAATATTCGTCGGGCTGTTTTCGATGTATTGAATTCTGAATTACGATAAACATTTTAGAAATTTCTTTTTTGTGACCTTATCAATAACCAATCCATTTGTGTTTTGTTTGTTTCCTTTCATGTTTTTCTGTTTTATTTTTAAAATTTAATAAGAATTTGATTGCTGCGAGTGTCTTGAATTTGAAATTGTTGAAACTACGGCAACCTCGCATGACGCAAGCTCGACACGGTGGCGCGACAAAGGAGCAGTTACCAGTGATGCGCGGCTTTCTTGGCCGACGCGACGGTTGCGTTGTCGATGGAATTGTTGAAATACATAGAAAAAATAGCGAAAAAACAAAATACGTATTTAAAATTGTTGAGTGAAACATGTATTTTCTTAGATTGAAAATAGTTCGGAAAGTGGCGGTAAGAGACAATAATTCTAACATTTATTCATTCAGAAAGGTATTCAAAGTAATGTGTGCTTTTCAAGGTGTTTTGTAAATCAGTGGTTCAAATTGTGATGAGGCCTATATGAAAATAATGTGTTAAAAATGGGGACTGTTATTTTAGTCTGTCATAAGTATATTTTTTAATGTTGGGTAAGTTTTTTAATTTAACTTTTTTAACACATTATTAAACATTTAACTTTTAATTTATTTTATGTAATAATATCACAATCTTAAAAATGTAATGCATCTCTGCAAACTCCTCAGGTGTTGTGATTTTATGACTTACTTTTAACATATACTTTCTTGTCCCTATGGCAACACAGTGCGTCGAATTAACTGAAATCCGGGCTTGATCCGGGTAATTGGATGTAGTTGGCGATATCTGCCGGCGGTTCTCAAAATGTTGCGATTATTTTTTTAAATTTTCAAAGTTAAATAACTCGGTTATTTTCAATTTATTTTAAAAATGGTAAAGAGAAAATATTTTTATTTTGACCAGATTTACCACCCCTTAAAATATCTGCACTCATTTCTGGGACACCCTGTATAATGGGCACATTGTTTACTCACTTGTGTCGTCGAACTGCTTGAATCAATTTTTGCTTTTGATCAAATCGGTGTGAGAAACTATGAAGCTATAAAATGTTTCGGGAGAGTTGAATATCCGGGAAAGTTGAGTTATCGAATGTTATTGCACCCAACAACCACGTAATTACACTCTCCTTTACGCGTTAACATTTCTTCGGCAATTTTAATAACATTTGAAATTGTCACAATACAACGCGACGCCCAGTTCAAGTTCTTTTTCGCTTAATTTTTACTACCCAAATCACATAAACCTTGTATCTGAGTGTTTTAGTTACAATAACTGCACTAGAAAAAATCTAAAATACTTAAGTATTATCATAAAGCCACGATTTCAATATTATTTTAATGCGATCAACATGAATTGCAACCGGGACGGCATGAAATACAGAGCGAAAACTTCTAATTTCTGCCGTTTCGAGCGCTGCGTTCCGAAGTTTTTGAAATCAACTGCAATGCACCAAGCCTTTAAACTTAGGCGAAATTTGGGTAATAGTTTCTGCTTTGTTTTAGATTAAAAATGACATAAGGAAATGTAGCATGTTGCTTTTGGGCATCTGTCAAATTTGACATTTAAAGTAATAAATGTGTAGTGTTGAATTTTCAAAAACTTCATTTGAAAAAGTTGTTTCTTTGTTAATTTTACATGCGTATACCAATTTTTAGCCATCTAGATAAAAATAAGATAATTTCCTCAATTTTAACCAATAGCAGCTGATTCTCGAGGTAGAAGCAAAAATATTTGATGGCAGTTCGTTTGTAAGGCCAGTATTACACTATCAAATTTCTCTGTGAAAGATTTTATTTTGTCAAAGAATTTGACAGTGTAACATGTGTAATTTTAAAAAACATTAAACGAAATACCAAACCCTAATATAAAATACACACTATAAATACAACTTACAATATATACAACTACATACGAAACACAATATATACACCTTACAATTCCATACATACGAGGCGTTTCGGAAAAAATAAGGATAGGAAAACAATATAACATACAGTATTGGCCAAAAGTGGATGAACCAATACCAATAATTGCGAAGAAAATCAGATTTGAGGTGTTAAATATCAAAATTATTTTATGTACCTTTGTATGTTAAAAGTTACTTATACATTCTCACCAAAATACTACAAACAAATATAAATTCTTCTGTTAGTCTTATCATTTATAGATAAGAATTGGCAAATATTGCTTTTTTGTCTTGGACAAAAGTAGATGAACCAAAATTTTTAAAAATCGTTAGTTTCATTTGTTCTGCTTTTATGAACAATTACGATTTAAAAACATTTGAGCTCTTGTGATATATCATGCCACGTGGAATTAACTTGTATGCAGATCTTAAGTTGCGAGTAGTGAATGCTTTTAAGGATGGTTTGAAGCAATCGGAAATCGCTAAGCAATTACAGCTTGGAAAATCAGCGGTACATTATATTTTAAAGAGATATAATGAGAGAGGAGATGTCTCTATAAAAAGAAAACCAGGACGACCTAAAAAAGTTGGTCCCAATATGATAAAAGCCATAAAACGAAATTCTTCACAAGATCCATTTTTGCCGTCAACGAAGATAAAAGCAAAACTTGAAGAAATGGGCTATCCACCAGTGAGTACAAGGACGATCCGACGTAAATTAGTTGACCAGAAGTTGTTTTCCCGAAGACCCGCCAAGAAACCACTGCTATCAAAAAAAAATTTGAAGGCCCGATTAGCATTTGCCAAGGAATATCAAAACTGGACTGTGGCACAATGGAAAAAAGTTTGTTTTAGTGATGAATCAAAGTTTAATTTGGTGTCATCAGATGGAATTCAACATGTAAGAAGACCTCCCAACACACGATTGCTACCAAAGTACACGCGATCCACTGTAAAACATGGTGGGGGCTCAATCATGGTATGGGGGTGTTTTTCTGGATATTTTTCTGGACATTTTACAAAACCTTTTAGTGCCTTATTTGGGGGAAAAATGCCAGTTGTACACTACTTCCAACATGATAACGACCCGAAACATGCCTCACAATTGGTTAAAAGGTTTTTGGAAGATGAAATGGTGACTGTTCTCAAATGGCCATCGCAATCCCCAGACCTGAATCCAATAGAAAATTTTGGATCAACACATTAGGACCAAATTCTACAAAAATAAGCAAGAATTATTTGCAGCTTTGGAAGAGTCTTGGAAAAATATCGATTTTTCTATAATTGAAAATCTTCTGGGATCCATGCCTAAGCGATGTCTGAAAGTAATTAAGAATAAGGGTTATTACACTAAGTACAAGTAAATTATAAGTTAATTTTTCAGTTTTTGTTAGCATAAGATTTTTTTTTATGAAATATATATTTTGTTCATCTACTTTTGTCCAATAGTTTTTTCAATTTAAATTTTTTGCTACCTTATTAAAGCACATTTTAAAAAAACAATGCTATTTATTTTTATAGCATTGACACTAGACTTCAAGTAAATATAGCTCAAATTTTAATTTTAAACATATTAGGAAAAACCCATTATTTTGACAAAGTTCATCCACTTATGGCCAATACTGTAGGAACATCTTTTAAAACACAAAATCCACTTAGATCCATTTTATCACATACTAAACCAATGAATACAGAACAACAAACAAAAAAGGTATGTTAGTAATGTATGGCAATCGCTTCTTTGATTTTAAAGAACATAACAAAAATAAACATAACATACGTAAAATTTAAAAATAATCATACAGAAAGTTTGGGGCTTTTTGGTTTTACCTTATTAAGTATTTGTTATCAGGTAGTAATTGTTAATTTTGAAGTTTAACTTGATATAATGTCATTTTAACAGAACGTCAACGGTTTCTTGTAGACGTATCTGTTTTAAAAAAGTAAAGTGTTCTCGAATAGTTGAATTTAAATATTTTAAACAGTTTTTTACTTTATTCTTTGTATTTTTTTGCTCCGACGACGGAAAGAGATAAACTTTCCGAAACGTTAAGCATTTTTTTCTTTGTTAGGCAAATTTGTAAAAAAAAAATTGTAAACATAACTTCTGACAAGCAGTGTCCGTTTAGGTTTAACGCAGAAGTGTTTGCAAAAAATTGGTCAAGTGCAAGTCGGACTAGCGCACGAAGGGTTCCGTACCATTCATTATCTATACAACATTAGACACTATATTATTATAAACTTTTTTTCCGATTTAGCTGAAATTTTGAATGCGCGTATAAGTAATTTAAAAAAAATGAAGAAACACATTACTAAAAATTGTATTAATCAATAAAAAATATGTAAAAAGTAAAAATAAATATGTAAAAATAAAAAAAAACGATTAAAAAAAAGTCGCCTTGACTACGATTTGAACCAGCTTCACTACGGCTCAACGCCTTCAAGTCCTAACGCCATAGATTTAGGAAGAACAGATATCACATTGTGCATTTTAACCCGATCAAACAATCGGAGGTTGACTACGTACTGTAAAAACCAACTGAAATAGAGAAGGCGACATTGCCACATCTCAAATTTGCGCCTATCTACTTAGTTTGATTTGCAGAAAAGGTGACTTTAAAACCTTCACCGGATATCAATAAATCTCATGTCTTAATTAAATTAATACTTTATTTTTATAGAAGTATGCGTAATAATATGTTATTAACCAGAGGATATATGCGTTACTATTAAAGGACATGTTTACTGTTTAATGTGCTGAAACGTCTAGAACAATTGGCAACGTCGCTGCTAGTCTTCCAGAATGAAAATGAGCGGTCCGTCCCACCACCCCTCGCGACGGCCCATGGTCCGTTATAGCGTACTACGTTTAGCTTACGGTGTGTTTGAAGTCGGAATCAAGTCCGAAGTGAACTTTTCAGTGTTTTTCAGTAATTTTTGTTTTTGTTTAACGTACTTTTGAATCTGCAAATTTTCAATATGGTACGACAGTGTCAAGTGTGTGGAAAAATAAGCTCAAATTACCCGAAGTTGTCTTTTCACAGGTAGGTACAAATTTCCGCCGTAATTGTACATAGGCGTGCTATAAGGGAGCCCCTTACAATTAAAATAATTTCTAATTATATTTGTTGAATTTTGATCTATTAAAACAAGAACGTAGTAGCCGGTAATTGAATTATAATTCGCCTCAATTACTACCTAACTGTTGTAGATCATAACAAATTTGAATATAAACGTTGCATTTGAAACTTTATTATAAGCCAGAAAGTGACTTTTTTTCTTAAAATTGCGTCATATTTTGGTCATTATATACGATATTCTAAAGGAATTTTGCTCAACAAATAAACAAAGGTGTTTACCCGATTGCATATCTGCCCTTTCGGCCTTGTTTAGACAATTTTTTACCACCGTACAAATAACTCTAGGAAGAGGTTAGGTGTGTTTACCTTTTTTTAGAATGAGACGCACTGTAAATAATTTTTAGGCTACTAGTTTTACACATACCTATATACAGAGTGACTCAGGCCTCCAAAAAAGCTTTTTACCTATTACGTTTTTGGTTTGTGATTGTTATTTCAATTTTTTCATGCAATGCACATTTTCAAAATATTTTTGTCAACATACAGGGTGATTCAAACCGCAATACATATGCTTAATACAGTTCATGAAGATTGAGACATTTAACTAAAATTTGATTGTCTGATGAAGCTACCTTTAAAAGTAATAGGTTTGTAAATAAACGTAATATTCATTATTATGCGACAGAAATCCCATACAGCACACAGATTTGATACTTTTAATGATAAATGCCTTCTATTGAGAGACTAAAAGGTAATTGCCTCGTATCAGAGCCATCATAATATAAGAAGAAGACCGAAAGTCAAATCTTGTCTTATATTTTCAAAAAAAAACACAATTTTCTCATTAAATATTGATTTTAGGTATAGGAAGTTATTAATAATATAAGATTAAACAACTATTACACAGTACTTCACAGGAAGCTATCGATTGCGAACTAACTAAATCGTTACTAATTACTAATTATGAAAAGTTCTTTTTAAGATCAAAAAAGTAAAACTAAAACTTAAACTATCATTTGAGATTAAACGGAAAGTTCGAAATAATGTTGCCTATTCTAAACAAGAAAAAACTATTTATAAGTTTTATAACATCTCTAATTAAATTTGGGCGAAAAGAATATTTCTGTTTGCTGTAGGTAATTTTCTCAGGGAAAATACGTAAATAAAAATGACTTTTTAAGTCAAAAGGACAAGTTATTCCAAAAAAGGACAGGTGGCAACCCTAGGTATTTCTGGAATGGAAATTTAATGGCAAACCTACAACTTTAGTTTGAAAATATGTTCCGGCCACCTATGCTTACAAAAATGTCTAAAATGTGCTTTACCATTGCCTCCATATTCTGAAAAAAAATTGAAAGAAAAGTCACCAACCACAAACCTAATATAGAACTGTTTCAAAAACTTGAGTCACCCTGTAAATATTCAAAAGTAACTGAAAGTTGATATAGAAGTAACTGAAAGTTTAAATTGAAAATCGAGGTTGGAGCGATTTTCGAAAACTACCTACTAACGTTTCAACATATATGTGGGATATTAATTAATATTATATTATATTAGACCTTATAACAAAACTCATCTGACGAAAGAGTGTTAATGTAGTATATTAATATGGAGTAAAAATTTTACTAATTACTTTAATTTTACTTTACTAATAATTAAATTCGTTCCAAAAAACGATACGCCACTGGCCATTGGAACAATCCAAATGCGCCTAGTTGCCGGGGACGGAAATTTTAGACTTCTCTGTCTCTTCTGTTCTTGTTTGACACATTTATGAATGAGATGTTCGGTCTATCTTTATAATGTCTTTGCCTAACGCCTTTAACCAGGCGGCCACTTGAGGACTTGATAAATTCTTAATATTCTGTGTAAAATTCTTACTTAAACGATAATGTTTAGTGAAAGTACTTTTTTTATTTATAAACATTTATTTAATTCTGTTTTTAGTATTTGTTGTTATAGCGGCAACATAGATAGATTATCTGTAAAAATTTCAACTGTCTAGCTATAACGGTTCATAAGATAGAGCTTTGTGACGGACGGACGGACAGACGGACAGCGAAGTCTTAGTAATAGGGTTCCCGTATTTTTGGATACGGAACCCTAAAAATGACTGTTTTATTTTGTAGATTTTCTTGCAGTGCAGTGGCGAAATACCCATAAAGGATTTTTTTGGAGAGATGAATCCGCCACATAGGTATAGACAGTTTTTATGATAATAATATCTATATATAAAAGAATTATTCATAGTTTGCATCACACAAGCAAATTTTTTTACAACAATAACTTTTCATAAAAACTTAATTTATGCAAAACATTTAACTCAATATATGAGCACTAGATGAATATCTGACAAATGGGCTTCCATCAGTTATGTTTGTTTCTATCACGAGAATCGATTATTTTTAGTTGAAAATGAAAATTGTTTTTTCATCTAGTTGGCTGAAAATTGGTACACTTATGTAAAATTAAAAAGAATCTTTTTCAGATAAAGTTTTTCAAAATTCGGCCAGCAAAGACATTTTTAATGCATTTATTACTTTAAATATCAAATTTTACAGATACCTGAAAACAAGATACTAAATCTCTTATGTCATTTTAAATCTAAACCAAACCAGCGACTATGGCCGAAGTTAAATTTTACCTAAATCAATAAATATAAAAGTTCCATGTTACGGAATTTATCTAAGACACTGTATGTATAACGGTCTCTAAAAGGCTAAATATTCGTACCTTTCGGGTATGTCCGACTCGTTAAGAATTTCTTCGTATGTAAGTTTTTCGTGATTATTAAACAACATTAGAACTACCATTTGATACGTCGACACCTGAATAATATGTTTTCGTGGTCCGCCTCGGGAGTTGCTAATCAGGCTTGTGGACGATGAACAAGCCCCTTCGGCTTCTTCTTTACGGGGTCCATAAAAGATGGCATTGAGATCAGCGTTGCCTAATTGCGGCTGTAATGTCAATTGACGACCACTATGTTTCGCTAGATAAAATCTAGAAAAACAAATAAGGCCCAGATAACTAATGAAATATATTACATTTTAAAAATAAGTATTATGAATACAAGTATGATAAACACTCACTGTTACTTTTATGAATGGAATTGACCTTACGTATACAGTAGTGATGGGCAAAACTGTTATTTTTAGATAACAGTTGAAACTGTTATAGTTATTTATAAAAAACAGCTTAAAATAACAGCTTAAAAATAACAGGTTTCTTTATTTTACTACTAAATATCTGAAAGAGTATGAGACGGTCATCGCCAGGCGTATTAACGCAGTTGCAAGTTGCAACAATGACGTGCTCGGTGGTAGTATTTCCAGGGTGTCAAAACATTTCTAAATATCGATTGTTATCTAAAATACCTCTCTAAAAACGGTGGTTATTTACAAATAAGCGCTGTTTACAAATTGCGATATAAAAAAAAGCCAAAATTCGGCCACTCGTCTATAGTATATACCTACGCCCTGCCCCTCGATCCGCGTAGATCCTGAATTGCGTAGCAGTGTACAGGGTGCATCTCACTCGACGGGCGAGAAGCTCTTAGTTATGATTTTACCATTTGCGGTCAAAAATAGCAATATAAGAAAATGTGTAGTATATTCTTCATAAGTAAACCAACTACACACTAGAGTTCGAATTAATTTTACACTTAAACTAGCGTGTACCCGCGACTTCGTTCGCGTCGAATTAATAATTTCTAATGGTGATGATAAAGCAAAACAAGAATTTCCATTAACATACAAACTGGATAAAATTTTCTCACATTTGCCAAAAATAAGCTTTCTAACGTCGAGCAGTTTAAGCAATCGTGGTTAATCAATTACTCAACTTTTGGAACACCCTGTATGATTTTTTAAAAAATTTCAAAATATGTAAAAAAAAAACAAAATAAATTATGCGTGTCCAGGCGTTTTCCCGAAAGACTAACCGTTTTTTTAAATAACAAATATTGTAATATTTGAGGGGCGTTTTCACCCTGTTGGAATTTGAGATTCGAGAAACCCCTCCTTATCGAACCTCAACCCCACAGTCAATCCGTTTGCAAAAAATCAGCTTTAAACGTCCAGCAGTTTAAGCAGAATAGTGATTACTCAATGGTCATATTTTATGAAACACCCTGTATATATTTTTAAAAAATCTTAAAATATGTTAAACAACATATTAAAATATACGTGTTTTAAGAGTTTTTCCGAAAAACTCACCGGTTTTTAAATAAAAAATATTCTAATATTTCAGAGTAGTTACACCCCCTTAGAATTCGAGTTTCGAAAAATCCCTTCTTATCGAACCTCTACACACTAAAGTCAATCCGTTTTCCAAAAATCAGCTTTTTACGTCAAGGGCTTTAAGCAGAATCGTGATTAATCAATGACCAGATTTTTCAAAACACCCTGTATACATTTTTAAAAAATCTTAAAATATTATTGTGAAAATTTTTCAGAATAAATATATACCTAAATATTGAAACTTAATAAGTAAGTACTGAACATACAGCGCCATAATATCTCGACCTCCGTCCGTTATGCTCGTAACAGGTTGAAACAGAATGTATCTAAAACAACTGATGCGTTATTCCCCAACCTGTTTCGAACCTCCATCGACAATCGACCGATGCAGCAGCGTTCCTTTCCCACACCTATTATCTCGTCCGCCGCCCTGTTATACTTGTAACAGGTTGAAAAACAACATATCTAAAATGACTGCTTCTCCAACCCGTTGCGAGCCTCCATCGACAATCGACCGATGCAGCAGCGTTCCTTTCCCACTCCTGTTATCTCCACCGCCAGGCGTTATGCCCTCAACTGTTTCAAAAAACCTGCTTCTTTTATATCCTATTATTTTTAAGCTGTTGTAAATACGACCATTGACGGTATCGACCGAAGCAGCTACGTTCGCCGTAGCGCTTTCCCCACTCCGTTGTCCGTTGTCTCGCCGCCTGTATCGATGGTTGACGAAATAACATGTTTTCAATCCATACTAGTTGTTTTTTGGAATTGCTTCGAGCAGCATAGAATTTCGTGGTGATGCAGAGCGCCGACTTCGTTTTTCCTTTCACGAGCGGCCGATCTCTACGTGTCGTTATTTTATATCTGTTATTTTTTAAAAGTAGTAACGGTTGCGTTATGTTATTTATAAATAATTGTTATAAAATAACAGATAGTTAAATAACAACCCATCACTAGTATACAGTATGTCCCCGGATTGTCTTTACAAGAGGAAACACTTTTTTATTATTGAAATTTTGCCAGAAAAATGCATTCATTAAAAATGTTTTGCTTTTTCTATATTAGAACAATTTAGAACGGGGTTAACTATTAGAACGGGATTAACTATACAGGCTGGTCCGAACTGTATTCGAAACTTTGGCAGCATATTCTGCAGATAAAAATATATAAAAAAGTTCTTATAAATGTATGTTCTAAAATGCTTGGTTTCGGAGATACAGGGTGTAGAAATTTCATTTTTATTTCGATTTTTTCCAAATAATTTCTGAAGTAACGTCAATATTTCGTTAGGAAAACTGGTGTCTGGGAGTTTTTTGACATGAGAAATTAATTTTTTTTGTCGATATTACCAACTCCTACTTGTAGAGGGCGCTACCTACATATTTTTTAACTGGTTTGAAGGGTAATAACTTTTCGTCCGTACCTGTATAAAACCAGCGAGTTAAAAAATATATATTTACGACGTTTTCTACGGAAAAAAGGTCCCTTGGTAAAAATCGCTACGACTAATGGTTCTCGAGATATTTGGAATCGAAATTACCAATACCTGTCATCTTTGACATAAATTAAACATGTTGACTAAATAGTTATTAAACTGAAATCATAAATTTGAAATGTTTTTGTGCCAAAAGTTCAACAGAAACTGTTTTATTATCATTTTTTCGAAGAAAAATTTATGATTAGTTTAAAAAAATAAGAAGTTCCCAAATTTCTTATTTCAGTCAAATAACTATCTGCTCAACAGGTTTATTTTTAGTCAATATTGACATGTATTGACTATTTCCATTCTTAATATCTTGAGAACGGGTGCTCGTAGCGATTTTTACCAAGAGACATTTTTTACGTAGAAAATCACGGAAATGTATATTTTTTCACTCAGTAGTTTTATACAGGTATGAACAAAAAGTTATTACTCTTCAAAACAGTTAAAACTCATGCAGATGGCGCTCCCTACAAATAGGAGTCATATTGACATCAAAATCAAATTTCTCACGTCAAAAAACTCCCACACACCAATTTTTATCCAAACATTGACGTTACTTCAGAAATTATTTGGAAAAAATCGAAATAAAAATGAAACCTCTACACACTCTATCTCCGAAACCAGGCATTTTAGGACATAACATTTATACGAACTTTTTTACTTATTTTTATCGGTAGAATATGCTGCCGAAGTTTCCGGAATACAGTTCGGACCACCCTGTATAGTTAATCCCGTTTATACTTTTTCAAAATCCCATACCGTTTTAGAGAAAATTAAAAAAAAAACATGATAATATAGTTCAATTTTTTCTAAAGGTAGGTTCATACACACGCAAATTGCGAAATGCGAATCGCGAATATTGTTATTATCAATGACATCGAAATAAATTAGACCCGACGACTTAAATTTTGGCGAAATCCATCATTGCCTTAGAAAATTGCATGTATGCCAAATTTCCACTTCGACCGCATTTAAAAGGAAATCTTACCTACGTATACGTACGGGGATAGCTAACCCACATTGTAAACCAGGAATTCCAAATATAGATTACGTCGTAGAATACTTTAAACCGATAATAATTAAAGGTAGCCTACTATCACGAACTATGTACTCCCAATCAGCATTAGCCGTTATTTAAATCTTCTGTAATTATAATTTTTAGATTTTAAGAAATTTAACATAAAACAATCGACAACGTCGCAACGCCAGCTGATACTGAAAACGTACGAATTTTACTATCTTTACTCCTAAATTCAGGCAGCCAACAAAACATCCAGTTCGAATTCGTTCATAAATTGCTTTACGGCGTTGCCAATGTGTGGTTTTTCGAAATGTTTTATGAGGTGATTTCCAGATATTTTAGTGTTTTGTGGTATTATTTTTAGTGATTTTATTCAGAAACAATAAGACAATGGTGCGAACTTGCTTAATTTAAAAATAGAGACGATTTAAACCTAGAAGTTTGATTTCGAAGGTGAGTAAGGCTATGTTACATCAGTGCGGTGCCGAAAGGTAAAATAGGAAAAAATCTTTGGAAATATTCGTAAATCATACAGTTTTGGAATATACCGTTATAAGTAACGAACCATTACATTAAGTTAGTTTCGTCACGTTTGGTTTTATTGAATATCTTGATCATAATATTTAAATATTATCAAAACCAAGTATACAAATGCGAATATTAATTTGTTGAAAAAATATATAAAAAAGTTAAAGATGTCACAATTACGAAAAATGTTCAATAGTGATATACACCATATGATCGAAAAAAAAACGGCGTATATGGGGAATGTCATCGATGTTCATTTCTAAGCCATCTGGACGCCTTTTTTTTCGATCATACTGATTGTTATTAGGATTTTTAGTTATTAAAGATGATTTTTTAAGTGTAAAATCAAAATAGATTTATATAATGGATATTAAATACTAAATACCGTATGATCGAAAAAAAACGGCGTCAAAGACTGCTGGGAATAACAATCGAATATAATTTTGGCGAGGTCTATTTCTAGATGTCATTTATTAAAAATTGACATAAAACTTGTCAAAAACTAATACTGATTATAGAAAAATTATAAAAGGATAGAACGTTTCCAGAAACACAAATCGATATCCAAAAAAAAAATTTTCGAATTTATATTACACCATTTAAAAATCAAATACAACCTTAAGGCGTACTACTGCCAGTCAGTGTCATTAAAAAATAAACAAGAGTAGGGGTCATGACATATCACCTTGCCAAAATTATCACCGATTCTCATTTTTGACGCCGTTTTTTTTGATAGTATAATTTTTGTAATAGAGGAATGTATTTTTTGTTTTGTTTATTAAGACTAAAAAAAATTATATAGTTTAAAAGACGAATGCGTCTTTGTTTGATATGTTTTATTGAATAGTTAATTATTTATTCAGTACAAGGTCCCGATTATCCGCGAAGAAACTTATCCAGAAATAAGTAAATATTTTAGAAATTTTCTTTTGTTTAACAAAGATCTTTATTATTGTTGTTATAAATAGTAGTATTTTTATACCTAATATTAAATTGCAATTCGTCACGACAGTTTTAAAATATTCTCATTTTTTACCGTTGCTTCAATCAAAATAATACCATTAATTCACATTAAAGTTTTATAAAAGTCGTCTTCGGCTCGTATTCATTGAACGCTTGATAGATTATATTACTACTGGAGCAATTTACAGACATTACTATGGAAATGTGCATATCATAATTTCAATTAGTTATTTTCGTATAGAAGTGATTGGAGTATAGAAGTAGTCATTTTCAGAATTTGAAGAGCCATCTAGCACAACAATGTATAGTATCCAAAAATCATATTTACGAGAATATAATATTAAATTATATATTACAATCAAAGTAACTACGCCACTGGCACACATTCTCAAAATCTCGGAACAGCGTTGCCATTCTCTCGGGAATCCTTCATGACTGCGATCAGCCCGTCTTGTTCCCACTCGCATAGAACAAGAAACGAATGTCTGATTCTGATCTTTCTCTTTTTATGAATGAAATGCCGGGTCTACTTTATTTAGAGGTCATTGGTTATTATTGGTCAATTTCAAAAAAATACAGAGGCGGCAAAAGTGACAGAAAGTTGTTTTAATATTTTGCAAACTCGCATAATTTAAAATCTGGGGCAGGAATATTGACACTGATTTAATTTTTGCAAATATTCGTTTGATTAAGGAAGGAGCATATCAAAAATTAGATCGACCGCGACGGGACTCTAAAGGTTGTCGCCCACTAGAACGCGGCGCGACGCGGCGCGGCGTCATGTGGAAATTTCTTTTGTCTGCTTGCCATGAATTTAAATGGAGCAACGCACATTAGAGCGCGCAGCGCCGAAGCGCGCCATGGAATTTCCGTCAAGAAGTCGGAAGACTTCTCTAGCAACTTTTTCCGTCTCCCGCGTTTCGGCGCGTGGCAGTGTGCGTACTCACAACGGAAATAATTTTGCATCTCAAGTCTCTTCACTGGCTTTTTGACTAGGAACTAGTGGTACGTATCAATGGTAGAATTGCATTTTTAAAGGTAAATTAGGCAAACAGATTTTTAAACAGGAATATGATATTTTTTTTAGTCTTCCCTCACTAGAGACAGATGGACGAAATGTTTTTCTATCAAAGATTTAATATAATTGAGGGGTGTAGAAGCAAAACCGGCAATCTCCACTTCTTGACAAAAGTGACAATCTCCAATTTTTAAATTCTAATTACCTAAATATATAAAAAAGAATAGGATTTTTTCATCACATAACTAATATACACATCAGAATAAAGTAGAAAGCTATAAAAGCGATTAATTATTGCATCATTAGTAATTTGTCTTTTCTGAAAAAATATGATGAGTAGAGATACTCGGTGTTTTGCCTCTAAAACCATCAATTGAAGAGTTCGTAAAATGTTTCCTTTATATTTTGTAATACTGAAAAAAATGCTCTTGTCTTTTATTAAATCTGGAAAAAGATGGTAAAATTCTCCAAACTTCTTTCTTTTTTGTTAATCTTATGAGTCCAAACTTTCCTTTTCTTCTCACCTGCTCTTCCTCTTCCTCTGTTAGAAGAGCACAAAAAATACGCTTTCGTTCGTTCGTTGAACTCATTGTTTTAAAAACTAAACTACAGTAAGTAAAAAGCACTTCGACTAACTAAATAGCGTTTCCGCGTTTCAAAAACGCGCTATAGTGGGCGCAGTCCCGAAAAAAATTCTCTTCCCAGCGCGGTCTAGTGTGCGACAACCTTAAAATGGTCGACTTAAATTCCGGTTTCTCAGTGCTGTTCTAATTTTATTCAAAACGTGTAAAAATATGATGTACGGGTAGACGTGGGGTAGACTCGGTTAATGTTGGTAGTTATTAAAATTTTTATAAAAATATATAATTCTAATAAAAATAAATAAGTTATAACAATTATTTATTAACACTAACACCCCATACTCTACTGAAGCAGGTATCTAAATTCTTTGACATTTAATCTTTGACAAGTAGTAAATAAAAGCAAAAAAAGTTGAAAGAAAAAATATATAATTAGTTAATTTTAAGTGAATTTTGTAAATAATCCTACTACACATATGTATATTATACCGTATGATCGAAAAAAAACGGCGTCCAGTTGGCTTAGAAATGACGATCGATGACATTTTCCATATAATTTTACATATAAAATGACAGCGATCTTCATTTCATAGCCATCGCTGACGCCGTTTTTATTCGATCATACGGTATATTCACTTACTAGAGAAAAGTTATTCCATTATTTCACTCGATTTTTGACCCAGATCTACCGAACGCTACACAACCAACTATTTTACAGTATTTTTCGATAAATCGCAATAGTGTCACTGTTAATTTAAGTTCTGCCACGATTTCCTTCTAGATTTACTACCTTTACACAACTATCGGTAGTAGAATAAGGTTGTATTCCGTTGCAAAACCAGGCGAACCAGACCGGTAAACTACAGTAAAGAGCAGTTCCTGAAAAATATCCGTTTGATACGGAACGGTTTGGTAAAATACTGGAAACGTCAAATGTTGACGTTTTCTAAATTTCAATACATCTATTATAAAATTTATCTTTTATGCATTTTTAATGTACCTATTCTCTGCTTTTGCGTTTGCTTCTTCTTTTCAGTGGAGTTTAATATTGAAAAGTACTTTATTAACAAACTGTTAAACTCATTAGACAGCTCAAGTGAAGATTTGCAGGTCCAATATTAAAATACATCAATAATAAATAAACAAATCTAATCAATATTTATATTTTTATAGCTTACAAAACATTCACGATTACTTGTTGTCTTGTTTTTCATGTTTTCTTTAAAATGACTTTAAGAAACAATGGCTGCATGATAAGTTTAAATGGTCCTAAAAAGTCATTCTATTTAGTTAATGAAATTTATTTACCTTTAATGCCTACCTCCATTGCTTTTGGATGTAAATACAAAATATTACAAATTTCAGAAATTAAATGAGAATTTCACTCGAACTTCCAATATTTGCTTGATTTCTGTCACATAAATGACATTGATTGACAAACAAAACCAGAAAAAATATATAAGCTGACTCTGGTTAGTTTGGTGACAGTTATAACCGAATTTTTCAGGAAGCGTGTTCCGTAATAAGAAAACTTTCAGGAAACCGATAGAAACGGAACATAAAACCATAACCAAGGTAAGCAATGGAATACACTCTAAATAATAAATAACATAAAATAAGCTCAGTAAAGACTGACAAATCCACAAAATTTCAAATCAAATTCAAATGTGTCACGTGAATCGTCAAACAGAACTGTCAAGAATCCCCACCCTAGAGTCCTCTTTATGGACAGCATTATACTCATTCCTTAATCTTTTTATTCAAAGAATGTCATTAACTGGCTAACGTATTAAATAAGTATACATTGATTCCTTATCAAAATATACGAAATTGCTACGTAACTGGATAAAAGTTATTTATGTTTCACCAAAACTATATAATTTAATTTACCTTCTAAATGTTTCAAAGGCGGTTAAAGGGGCAGCTGGAATGTGACACTTTGTTGCACTTTGTGTAGGCCAAAACCCTGTAGTAAGGACCCTCATGAAAAGATCAACACCTCCTAAATTGGCCTGTAAAAAATATTACTAACTATATAAAACGAGTGATAAATAAACAGCAGTGAAAATAAAAAAGTTGGAAAAAATTGAGGGAGCGATTGCCATTTTAGAAATAGTAAGGGAGGTGTTTAATATAACTCTCAGTTGGATGTTTCTCCACAACAGTCATCAATATACAGAGTGTTCCAGAAATAAGCGCAAATATTTTAAGGGGTGGTAGATCTGGCCAAAAGAAATACATTTTCTGTTTACCATTTTTAAAATAAATTGATAATAATAACCGAGTTATTTAACTTTAAAAATTTAAAAAAATAATTGCAATGTTTTGAGAGCCGCCGCGCCGCACAGTGGGCAAAAATCCAGAAGTATGTTGCAAAAATTCTTTTATTGTACGATTTCATTCAAATTTGGTAAAAACATTCTATGCCAGTAGCCCGTGAACCCAGTTAGTTTCGGCTGACTTGAGATTGGCTGGGGGTGGTGGGGGGGATTCATAAAATGGAAAAATCATCTTTTGACTAATACAGCTACAAAAATGCGGTAAGAATATTTTACATTTCACTAAATTTTACGATTTTTGGCAGAACCAAGATGAAACAGACAAATATTGAGCAATTATTACTCCTCCGGCATATACAGGGTTTGTTAGGTTAGGTATATATATATTGACATCCTCTGTATCTTTTTTATTCGACGTTTTCGAAAAAAGTGTCTTGAATAAAAGTTTAATGGTCTGGAATACATTTTTCAAAACAGTCTTCTTTGCATATACCGGGTGCCTTAGAAATCCTGTGCGTGGCCCAACTTTCTTATTTAAAATTAGTACCCAATTTTTTATTTATTTTTTTTATTTTCTCCTAAAAATCCTAACTACTTTTATGTAGCATATCCTATACCTAATTTGAAATAAGATAGTGGAACCACGCCCAGATTTTTTGAAGCACTTTGGATATGCGAAATAGACTTTTTTGGCAAATTTATTCAAAACCACTTTCATTTGAGACAGTTTTCGGAAACGTCAAATAAAAAGATAAAGGGGGTGTCAATGTATAAAAAAGAAAACCCTAAGTATACTAATCCAGTCGAACTTTTATTCAAGATTGTTTGTCATTTGAATAAGTTGGGTCTCTAATAATACCAGACAATATGTGAACAATATTTTATTATTATATTTTAAATAAGTAACAATATTCTGAGACTTAAACAATGACGATTTCGAAAATAACAGAACTTATACCTATTAAAAATATCTAAATTTTATTTTACCACCTACTATTTACTGATATTTTGTTTTATAACAGCTGGAAGCAATGGTCATGAAGTGCACATTTTTAAATCTGAAAGAAAAATCCATTTCATTTAATTTAAAAAATTAGGTACTGTCAAAAAATGTCATTTGACATTTATGACATACCTCTTCGGAAATCTTGAGAAAAATTACGTAACTTTATATTTCAAGTTCTTCTCTAGCTACTATAACAATTAATTTATGAGAAGTATCCACATAAAGGATCTTACTATACACATACGCATGGAGACATACGCTTCCAATAAGTTTAAAGTTGCGATTTTTTTGATTTTTTGACTTAACTTTTCTAAGATAGAATATATGCCACTATCAAAAAAAACCTTAAATGATTATGTTCTACTTTGACCTTTACCTAGTTTTTATCCAAAAAATCAAAATAAAAGATCCTTTTTACTTACCTTGACATTAAATTTACCGCAACCGGGAATCTACGTAAAACACATTATGACAATTTCACAATAATTATTGACAGTAAGCTAAGGTCGTCCGATTCAATTGTTATAATACTGTGTCACTTGAATGCAATGCCTACTATTTAAAAAATTGTAGAAAAAAGCAGTTATTGGACACAAATTAACTGAAAATGTAGGTTTTGCGCAAAGTTCGTTTTACAGCCCCTCGAAAGAGACTCCGAATAAGGTTTTTTGTTAGTTTTATGTGGTTTCCTCTTAACTAATATGTTTCCAATCTAATGTTATTGCCATAAATGCTAACTGTGGATGTTATTTTTTGCAACTTGGTTTGGACATATTGCCTACTGTGCGCCGGCAGCAATCGATCGAAATCAGTGCAAATACCAAGCAATTACCATAATCTTAACTTGTTCGACGCCCAGTGTTGACATATCGACTACAAAAATTTTAAAACGACTCCGATAGATAACAGATCGATGTAATTAAAACCAAAAAATGATCTCTGCTTTACGGTGAGCTTGTAGACGGTAAGAGGAGGCCGGGTGGACAACTCAAAAGGTACAATTACATTTTCCATGAAAAATTAAAGGGGATTAACATGCAGAATGAGTGGGAAGAAGCAGCTCACAATAGAACTCACAAGAGAAGAATTGTAAACTGGTAAACTCAGTTAACAGCGACAACCAAAAAGTAAAGAGGCAACAAAGCAATGAGATTTTTGAATGTCAGGAGTGCGGTAGGCAGATAACATCACGTATCGGGCTTTTTAGTCACAGAAAAGCTCATGGAAGAAAACGCCTTGCGTGACCATCTTCTGATGCGTGTCGAATACTCGTCAGCGAGTAATGGCAGTATGTACGATGTAATTAGGTTAGAGCGTCGTTTAATCACTTTACCTAAAACCGCAACTCTACACTTAACAATACTTCACTGCGATTCTTAACAGCACTACACTTAGACGTGTATTTGACACAAAATATATTCATATGCCATCTGAATTATTTAGGATTATTTCTTGAGAATTTAAACTCCTCTGACTCATAGTCTTGTTTTTATGAATATATGAATAAACACCAAAATAATTGATATTTCTATTTGAATAATAAAAGCATTTTTACAATTGCTTTCCCTTACATTTGCCTATTTTTCTTTAGTTTTGTCAGAGGTTTACTGTTTTAAGTAAAATCTCAAATAAATTCAACTGACCCGTTTAAATGTAGGCCAAACGTTGACAATTTACATATCTAATAGAGGTCGCTGTTTCTGAATTGTTGAAAAGCTGTTATAATAATTATTTAGTTTCGTTATTTCTGTTTACTAAACTGTAAAAAAGGTATTTAAAATATGAAAGTTTTTAAATTTATATTTTGACCCCTATATGACTTTAATAGAATTTGTTTACTATTCTGATTGTAATTATTTTAGCTTTCTGGGCCTGAAGATGGGAATTATTAAGTCCCGAAACATGTCGCCCTCTTTTTTTTTGAAGCAAATTAAATTTGAAATAAACATCTTAAAAGACTGTGAGCTTTTTGTCCTCTACCCCTCGTCAGAGGTTTTACTTTGATATGTACTCACACTGGGTTGGAGAACGTTTAGATTTAAAATATAGTAGACGTTGTAAATTATAACTTATAAACATTCAGACTGTGGATAATGTAAGAGGTGGCAACATTGCATTCGGTGGAAACACTATAAAGAAATTTCCGGAAACTGAACAAGCGGCACTCAAAAGTTTTTCAATATTTTCCGAAAAATGTCATGAAAAATATCAACATTATTTTTTCGCAAAAAAAACTCGTGAGCGTGTTTCTGGGATCGAACTATACTCTCAGTTAACATACTTGCACTTGTTTCTGGGACACCCTATATACCGGGTGCATCTCAAAAGTGGCCAACGCCACTATAACTTTTTTACTTTTTAGTTAAAAAAATAAGATTTGGTATGTTAGTATATGACATAAATTAGGATTGATTGACGTATTCAATTGTTTTCGGTCACTTCCTGTTTCACCGGAAACGACTACAACTTTGTGCGCTTATGGTTTATTTGAAATTACAACATACGGTTTATAACGAAAATTTGACTCAAATACGAACTGTGTGGTATCAAATTATTCGTAAAAAAATGCTTTTTCCAAATATGCTAATGAGCCACCCTCGTTCCATTTAAAAAATGAGATATGATTAAAAATACGATTGGGGCATCTTTTAACCAGTCAGGACAAGACATTAAAAACATTAGACTATCAAATCTATTTTTCCAAGGCTCCTTGATTAAAAATTATTATTTTTAACATAGCCATGGCATTCTAGATTGAAATTTAAAATATGATTTTTTATTACGCGAAAATGTCAAAAGTTAACATATGATATATCATTCTATTCAGAATGACATTTTCTATCGAATAAAGTAAAAAAATACCGAGGGTAGGGTGCCATTTAAAAATCAAAAGCTGTAGTCATTTCCGGTGAAACAGAAATGACTAAAACAATTGAATAGGTCAATCAATTCTAATTTATGTTATATACTAACATGTGTTATACAGGGTTGTTAACCACATACGACACGGAGTATTGTAGCTAAACGATTAGATTTTTACAAATTTTAAGTTTTGGGTTCGTTGAAGGACTATTAGAGCTACAATTTAGAAATAATTTTACAAGATACAGAGTGTCCCAAATAAGTAAAAAATGCTATAGTTGTATTTTTTTAAATGGAACACCCTGTATATTATTCTATTTTTAGATTCTACGATTGAAATAAAGGTAAATTTTATTAAGGTTTACCACGCTTAAACCTTTACCGTTTTTGAAATATTTTCAATTTTGTGAAATTGCAGTAAAAATTTTAAGGCTTCATTTCTCCAAAAGGGTATAAAAGTTTTTAATACTAAATATTTACTGAAGTTTATTTATTGATCAGTTATTGTGTTGCAATAATAAAAATTATACTACCTTATACAGAGTGTCTAAAATTTTATTTTAAATAATTACTAGCTTTAAACGGCAATAACTTGTTTAATTTAAATGGAAGGCCCTGTATATTTAAGGAGAATCAGATGCATAATTTAATTGTCTATCAAATTGTATTATACCACTTTTTACCCATCCCTTCAAGTTTTCATAGAAAATGCATTTTCTTATAATTTAGACCTCATTTATCAATATACCCATGGAACATTGACATTTTAGATTGTTTTTAAAGCAACAAATGTACCAAATGTACAGGCTAGTAATATTATCGTTTTTAGCAAAATGATAATATTACTAGCCCATTTGTATGCAAAAAGAAAACTATTTAAATTTTCATAAAAGAGTATACCATTAATTAAATATACCACCATTATTTCCGCCCAAATACTAATTAATTACATACTTAATTATATTCGTGAATAAATTATTCTAAATAAATGTGGATTTGAATCAGGAATCAATATAATAATAAGTTATAAAATGAATGTCTCTGTTGTTACAAATAAGCATTTGTCAAAAATGAAATATCATTTTAAGGTGTTACTTTTTACCACACTGTCTAATACACATAAAAATCAGTTTTTTTTTTTTCGAGCAATTATTATTAATCAACGTAAACAGTCAATTAATGTAGTTCGAATACTGGAATCATATTAATTGGTCCTCTTTAACAAATATTTAAACAGTTTTTTTTATATTTTTTAATGAAATAAACAAACTATATCGACAATATTAGTATCTGTACTCTTTAAAAATTTGGTACATCTTTAAAAATAATCTAAAATGTCAGTATTCCATGGGTATATTGATAAATGAATTTAAAATTATAAGAAAATGCATTTTCTACGGAAACTTGAAGCTATAGGTAAAAAATGGTATAATACAATTTGATAGACAATTAAAATGTGCATCTGATTCTTATAAAATATACAGGGTGTTCCATTTAAATTTTACAACTTATTGCCGTTTAAAGCTAGTAATTATGTAAAATAAAATTTTAGACACTCTATATAAGGTAGTATAATTTTTATTATTGCAACACAATAACTGATAAATAAATAAACTTCAGTAAATATTTAGTATTAAAAATTTGATACCCTTTGAGAAATGAAGAATTAAAATTTTGACTGCAATTTCACAAAATTGAAAATATTTCAAAAACGGTAAGGTTTAAGTATAATAAACCTTTATCAAATTTACCTTTATTTTAATCGTAGAAACTAAAATGTAATAATATACAGGTGTTCCATTTAAAAAAATACAACTTTGATATTTTTTATTTATTTGGGACACTCTGTATCTTGTAAAAATATTTTTAAATTGTAGCTCTAATAGTCCTTCAACGAACCCAAAACTTACAATTTGTAAAAATCTAATCGTTTAGCTACAATACTCCGTGTCGTATGTGGTGAACAACCCTGTATAATAAATATATCAAATTACTAGATAAATCGTGGTTTAAAAATTAATAAGGAACCTACTGTGTTTTTGTTTTTTGAATTTACCAGACAATTCTAATGGGATTAATAATACTGAACCTTTTTTTTTTCTTATATACTAGAAACACTTTAATTCAAAGTCAAGATTAGAAAAATAACACTCTGTCTAAGACACACTTAAATAAATATTTGATCTAAAACGGGATATTATTAGTAACTTCCACACGCCAAATTTATTTTTTGAGTGTATTATTCTTATTCAAAAGTATTTTCTTAATAAATAATTTTTCCTTATTGTTTTTAAATCACAGACAGTATAAAAAACACTATGTTTATGTTTATATATACAGGGTGCCCCAGAAATAAGTGCAAATATTTTAAGGGGTGGTAAATCTCGATCTTTCTCGATAAAAGAAACAAATTTTCTCTTTATCGTTTTTCAAATAAGTCCAAAATAACAGAGTCATTTTACTTTGAAAATTTCCAAAAAAATGATTTTTTGCTAAAATTTTGAACCACTGGATCTTTTCTGGATTTTCTTTCTTGTAAATTTAATCTAATACCTAATGTTGCCAAATTATCAAGAAATTATGGTTTTTAACTTAAAACTAAAAAAATTCCAAAAAATTTTGAATTTTCAAAAAAAAATTTCGCGAAAAAAGCCTCATTGATGTGTTTCTGGGGTTGAACTATACTACCAGTTAAAATATTTGCACTTATTTCTGGGACACCCTGTATATGCATATATAAATAAAAAAATTACTTACATCAGTCTTTGCAACATGATCTTTAAACTCCTCCATAATTGTATTGGACACAGTCATATCTTTAAACATGCCTTCTAATTTTGACGTAAATTGACAACCACATTCGGTCTGAAAATTGAAATTTCTCTTAATAATTTGCTAGAACTTTATTTTTGATATTTACCTTTAATTTTGAAATCATATTTTTTTCCCAATCATCACTTACAGATTTGTTCAGAAGTAATCTTTTAGCAAGATGTTGTTTATAGTAACGTTCAAAAACATCTTTCTCCTGAAGAAACCTAAAGAGTACCATTGACTTATCTAGTACCAACTCTATGTCCTGCTCAGACATCTATAGAAAAAAATGCAATACATTAAATAAATAATCGGTGTGCAATTTAGTTTAAAAATAATAGACAATAATGAGTTTCTTATTCAAAAAGTAGAGTAGGACTTATAGTTCAGTCATTGGGGATCAAAAAAAGGGCCTGCTTGGAAAAAAAGTCCGGAATTTTTGAAACTTTGCAGGTTTATAGGTTTTGGGGTCCCTAACTAAAATTCATAAAATGCGCATTTGCAGATTTGCCGCCGGCGCACAATGGAACGAGTCCATGTTAAATGTTGGACATGGGGCTAATTTTTTCTTTTGGGAAAATGGAAAACTGAATATTGTAGTTTCAAAAACAAGTGTCAGGCCTCTCTTAAAAACTGATTTTTAGAAAACAAAAATGTATTTTGTCGTTTTTACATAGGTTTAAAATTAACCGTTTTCAAAAAGGCTAATTCATGTTGAAAATATTACCACAATTTGATTTTTTTATTGCCCAAGCTGCGGTAGGTTTTTTAAAAAATATTATTTAACTCGTTCTTTGTTAATGAATTTTTGGCAAAATTTTATACATACATCTCATCAATCACCCACTATATATTTTTGAATTAAAAAGTTTTGAATGTTTATTATAGCTCTAATCATCAAGAAATATGAAGTAAGTGCCGCAAGGTACCATAAAAAGAATAGCTGGATATAGTAAACCATTATACCCTTATTATAAACTTATATAAAAAAGTTGCCCCAATTTGCCGTTTTTTGAAGAAACAAATTTTGAACTATACGATGGATACTATTTCCAGAGGCTTTTAAGTAATTTACATAGGTTGAACATGTCTGGCTTTAAAAATATATTGTTATTCCGATATTATTATTAGGTACTATCCTTCTTAACATTTATGTATAAATCTTATATTAGTAGATTATATCCAAATCATTGCACCCCCCTCCTTTTAGGATACATCTCTATATGACTTGTTAATGAGAAAGTAGTGTTCACTTTACTACAGTTATTTTCCTAACAAATGCGTAAAGTGATACTTTCCCGCACGCCTTATTTGACATTTACCCTGACATTAACAAATAATGCTAGTCGTTCAAATAATTTTCAAATACGCAGTAATTTAATCTGGTTTTGGTGTTTTTCTAACAGCTATAGCTTCAGGAAAAAAATAGTTTTGTTAGTTATTGTACTGAAACTGCAAAAAAATATGTTGAATTATATGGTTGGTTCTTTATGTCAGCCACAGTCCACAAAATTTTAATTCATGGCGGAGATATTATTGACAATGCTTTGGTACTTATAGGACAATTAAGTGAGGAGGCTCAGGAAGCTAATCACAAATTATTCATTTCCTACAGGTTAAACCATGCCAGGAAAATATCTAGGTGTGCTAACAATGGAGATATTCTTAATAGCCTTTTACTTGCTTCCGATCCTGTAGTTACCAGGCACAGGTCTATAATATCTTTAAAAAGTAATATCGCTGATCTGTCTTCAGAAGTTTTAGATTTGTTAGACTTGTCTGATGACCTCATATTATAATAAATGTTAAAAATTAAAACAATATTGTATAGACATTATTTAATTATCGAAGAGTTATATTGAGTTAATCTTTTTGTTGTGTTTTTTTATAAAATGTTAAATGTTTATTGTTCTTTGTCGAATTAACGTTTAAGTTATATATTACATGTTACATACATGACAGCTGTTACAGAGTTTATAGACAGCTGATAATCCTTAGTATTTCTCTTTTGTATTTTGGAGGGTGTACTTAAAAGTACCTATTTTTTAAAATTGTCCGTCATCTTCAACTTTCATGAAATATCAATTTTGACATTAAATTTGTATATTTCAAAGCATTGGCATTCCAAAATTACCACAAATAATAAAATCGGACCAAAAATGTTTGAGTAATGAGCAATTTTCAAAGGCTCATGTTTGTTGACCACCCTATATAATAAATTATTAATCTATTAAAAATATTTTTTCTAATAAAACTCAAAGGTTCCTCCTCTCCAAAAAACTCAAACGAAAAAAATTTGATAACAATGAAGCAAAGTTATGGGCTTTTAAAAAAATTGGTTTTGGTAAAACACGCTATATTTTTAGGGCGCCCTATATATGGTTTAAGTTATGTAAGGCAACAATTTTTTGTTATAATTTAAGACGTCCCTCTTTACATAATATTACAGCATATATAGATAATTTTAAGTTTTCCAGATTGAAAGTATTAAGTAAAAAACCTCATGTCCAACCACTCCCATAAGCTCGTTCCACTGTGCGGCGCCGCCATCTTGCCAAGATGGCGCCCAAAACCGGCATTTTGTAAATATCTCGAAAACTATGCGTTTTTCGCAAAAACTTGAAGAGAGCAAAATTAAAGAAAATAAAATTTCCTATAAAAAAGTTATATGAACATTTTCGCTAAAGTCAACCGTTTAGACACAAAATCCCTGGAAATTTTACAATTTTGCCTAAAGTATGATATACATATACTAGTTTTTCCGAAATCAAATGTCGATTAGTGTTCACTAAAACTAGTTTTAGATTAGTTTCTTCAATTTTGTCATGAAACAGTGGCGTATCATTAATTCGCTCATTAATTTATGAATAATTAATTGTCGTGCTGGACAGCATTCATTGCGAACTTACCACCAGGTTCAGCATTGGTCTAGTTGTACCAAAGATGCCGAAGAATGCGGTTGGAAGAAAACAAAAACAGGCATTACTCCAGTCACAACGTTGAAAGATCCAGCTCCAAAATCCCTATTGGCAATTTTATCCTGTAAATGCAAAACCAACAACTGTGGTAAAGATGCGGATGCAGAAAAGCAGGATTAAAATGTTCAATGATTTGTGCATACTGCAATGAGAAATCCTGTGACACCGTCACTGAAGTGTCACTCGGCGAATCCGATGAAGAGGAGTTGGACTTGCCTGTAGATATTCCTCTGACGGCTGAAGATGAAGAGTTGGACGTATTGAGAGACCACCCTGATGAGCCCAGCACAGCAGACACGATCAACTTTGACATCAATGAGCCAGATACGTCGGACTTGTGCAGATAAGTTAAAGTTTTTAATATACCTAGTGGTGTAGGCCTCCGGGGAGACCACGTTAAAATAAACGCGCCATGTATTTTAGGTGGTGTGGAAACAAGTACACATTTTCAATAATTATTCTCATTCAATAAATTAATGATACGCCATTGTTTCATGGCAAAATTCAAGAAACTAAACTAAAACTAGTTGACATTTAATTTCGGAAAACCGACTATACATAATATATCATATTTTACGCAAAATTGGAAAATTTTCAGGGATTTTGTGCCTAAACGGTTGACTTTAGCGAAAATTTTCATAAAACCTTTTTTATAGGAAATTTTATTCTCTTTAATTTTGCTCTCCTCAAATTTTCGCGAAAAACGCATAGTTTTCGAGATATTCACAAAATACCGATTTTGAGCGCCACCTTCGCAAGATGGCGGTGTCGCGCCGGCGGCGAGTCTAAAAATGTGCATTTTATGGATTTTAGTTAGGGACCCCAAAACCTATAAACCTGCAAAGTTGTAAAACTTCCGGACTTTTTTCCGAGCAAAAATCCCCAATGACTGAACTATTATTCTAAAAATTGCCAATTAACTTCAAGAAGTTTGTTCTGTAATAACGGTTAAAAATAATGTGAACTAAAACATTGTATGTTTAATATATTGTATGTTTAATATGTATTTCTACTTATTTATTTTTTTTAATATACTACTCAACTATTAATCTTTAACTTGTAACTCATAATAAATAACTTTCCTTAAAGAATATTATTTCTATTATTTCAACTTTTCAACTCACCCCTTTAACTCCTTTCTTTAATTTATCGTCAATAAAAAGTGACAAATATTCTGGTGATTTAGGATTTAAATTTAAAAAGTGTTCGAAGTCAGACGCAATCATTTGTTTAAATATCTTATCCTTATTGAATGAATTATTCAAGAAGTGATCAAAGCCATCTTTGAGATCTAATAAGGATTGCACAAAAGTGATTGCATTCGTGCCAGGTTGATGTTCTTCTTCTTGAACTAAAGCTTTTCCTTGTTCTCTTAAATTTTGACTAACGCGATCAGCCATGGTCTTTAGTCCATCCTGAACTCTTCCAAAAATTTTATACATACAAGCCAGATCTTCAGTTTTTTGATGTTTCAACATATGAACAACACCAGAATTTTCCATCTACAATATACAATATGTAAAAAATGATCATTCATTAATTATATTGTTACAAAAGTCAAGACGAAATATCTAACATCTACCAATAATGTATGTACAATTATTAAACTCTAATGAAAGATTTCTGTAACAGGATGATAGTCAATGATGGAGAAGAGGATCAAGGAATGAATAAAACGGAAACTTTAAGAAGGAAACGCAACTTGCTGAAGTGACATCTGTGGGTAAATAAGAAGTGGTAGAATCAGTTTTTGAATAAATGGTAAAGTCGCAATAAATCGATGGGAAATGATCGAAAATTAATTGTTCGACAGTATTCTGATATTTTTGTAGTATAATTAAGTAGTGTGTTGTAGTAGTTAACTGTTTAATAAATTAGTTTAGTGGTGTTATGGTGTGTATAAATATAAAGACCTACGGAACCTGTAACAATATTTATATATACCTCTACAATTGTTTTCATATGTTTCTTAATAAGCTCTATTTCAACTACTTCTACTATTCTTGATTCTGTGGATTCATCCAGATAGTGTTTTGCTCTATCAGATTCCTCGTTAATTCTTGCTTCAACCTTTTTAATATAAACAGAAGCACTATTTTCAGCTAAAAACTTTTGACTTTCAACCTAAAATTAAAAGAATGCATTCTGATAAAAAGATAGTATATCAAATGATTGAAAAAAAAGCCAGTAATTTAAAATATCGAATGACAGCGATCTGAAAAGCTATCGCTGACGCCATACAGGAAGTGATCGAAACGAATTGAATACATCAATCAATCTTAATTTATGTCATATGCTAACATACCAAATCTCGTTTTTTTATCAGAAAACAAGGGGTAAACCGCTGACAAATTTCTGTACACTAATACCACGAATAATGCCAAAAATACCAACTAATACTACTAATACCAAATAATGCCAACATTTTGTACACCAAAATATACTAGCGGTTTAACCCTCGCAGAAAAAATAAAAAAGGTATAGAGTATGGATGTACGAAGTTCCGGACGAAATTCCATTCCGGCCAGACCGCCAAAATAATTTGGCCGGAATTTTCAAAAAAAATTAGGCTAAATCTAAGTAGAAATCAAGAAAATAATTTTGAACTTTATTAAATGGAAAGTCTTTTTTAAACCATAACATTATTTTTAATCTAAACATTAAATTTAGGAAATATTTTATTATAACAAACAGGCATAAGAAATAGAATGTTTTACAAACATATAAAAAAATATAAATCGATAAACTATTACTCATAATTTATTTTATTCCGATTGTGGTGTATAAATAAGAGCTTTTCTGCATTTTGAAAACTTAGTCTACACCGCTTTTCAGACAAATGTAACAAAAACCTATGTTACCAATTTTCGACATTAGCCCTTTCTCAATACACACAAGTTGCACAGCTGCAGAGAAAAAACTGCCTGACTATATTAATTAGATCAGGAAATGTTCCATGGTGCCTGCTCCACCACACAATAGGGTTTAATTTTTATCAATAATCGGCATACCATGGCAAACTTCAAGTTGATGTAGGATGTTGCCTTTTGAACGACTCATAATAAAGATGCGGAAGTTGGTACAAAGTTAGCATTTCCACAGTGTGAAAGGTAACTTTGTTGATTTATTTGAAAAAATATGCTTTATATCTGGGATCTAAAATAGTCATTATAGTGAAGCAGTCCATATCAGAAAATCTTTTGTTCATGCCATTAATGAGACTTTCTTTCACAGTTCCAATGTTCTTTCAAATTTTCATATAATTGTTATATTTTATTGGACAAAAGGAAGCGTTTTAATACAGCAGTTGTTGGAATTACTTCTGAAGTTACTGAATCCGTTCACCTCATAAGTTTTGGTATCTCCTTAAAAGGTCAAGTAATTCAAGGACAGAAATTAATCAAACAAGCCGAAATCGCTGCACTTTTGTCAGATTAATAAATATTGAAATACGACGGATTGGACCCGATATAGAACCTGGATCCGGCCGGAATTCCGGCAGCCGAACTTTCTGTTCCGGCCGGATCGGCACAGTACCCAATCCGGTACATCCCTAGTATAGAGGCGAACCACTCTTGAGAAACACCCGGTATATTATTGATCTTGGACCTAGGAAATAATACCTTCTCTATAAATAAAAAAAATTAGAGAAAAAATTAAATCGTAGTTTACTATAAAATGCTTCGATGGACCACGAAATTACATTCGCAACAAAATCGCAAATCGCAACTATAGTAATATTGGTTGCCTAAATTGAAACTCGCAAATAGAAGAAATCGCAGCGGAATCGCAAATCGCAGTTTCCTATGAAAGCCAATCGCAGGTTACGATTTGATGCTAATCTCTAGTCTACATCACTGTCTTACACGTTATAATCCAGACCACGCCTTTACGATGACCCGATCGGTATATGCTATATACGTACATAGATAGTGGACATAAGAAGGATCGGCACTGAACACAGCACTAATAACGTCCGTATTTAAAATATTTTGATTTCTTTAAACAAGCTTGTATAGGATTACCCGAAAAGGCTCTATATCAAGTTTCTAGTTTGAGATTTTCACTCCAATGCTTTTTTTAAATATGCGAACTATAGTTGCGCCTTTTCTGTAAATATACACGGTGATTCAATAATATTTTCAAATTAAAGCTATTTTTTACCTCAGTGAATTTGCCATTATATTCCCATTCTAAAAACACTATTATGTCATGCCGTTGATTGAAGAAACAAGAAGATGCGCAACCTTATAGGCAACTTCGTGGCTGGTAGCAAGGAAATGTATAGTATTTTATTTTAAAATTAACTATAATTTGAAAATGTTTCTATCACCTTCATTGATAAGTACAATATGATCGAAGGACGATACGATCTATGAAATAAAGATTGCTGTCATTTTATATGTAAAATTATATGGGGAACATTCGTTATCAATGTACATTTTCAGGCCAACCGGACACCCTTTTTTTTGATCATACGGTACTTTTAAATTGGGGCTATTACTGTCCACATATTTTATAACAAAGATTGGAGTAAAAATACCCAACAAAAAACCTAATATAGAGCTATTCTGAAACGCTGGGTCACACTGTACAGGGTGGCATACCATTTTTTCCTTCAAAAATATTCAATTCAAAATCCGTAGAGACGCCACTGGTAGAAATAATAGAATTGTTTCTACATCAAAATCCGTATTTTGATGCATTGAAAACGTGCATCAAATTTTATAAAGATATCTATAATAACATCGGAGTTATTATGAAAAGTTTTTCTTTAGACTGACTTGTGCAAGGCCTTTGATACGGTGGACCATGGTATTCTTTTACAAAAGCTGAAATGGTTAGGGCTTGATAATGTGTCGTTTAGCTGGTTCTCTAATTACCCATCAAACCGCCAACAGAGCGTAAATATTTCAAACAAAAATAGTTCCTTAAAGAATGTCATCTGTGGAGTTCCCCAAGGTTCAATACTGGGACCCACATTATTTCTAATATTTATGAATTCTATATCCAACTTAAAACTAAGTGGGGAACCATTTCTTTATGCAGATGACACCCTGATCATGTATATTGGGGAATCAGTTGACGACTTAAAAGCTAGGATTATGGTTGATTTAAAAATTGTACAAGAATGGCTTACTTCACATAAGTTAACCTTGAATGGCAAAAAGTCTAACTATATGTCTGTCTCCAGTAGAAAAATCAATAATAATACATCATTGAATTTTGAAAATATAACATTGCCGTATAGTGGTGTGATCAGGTACCTGGGCCTTCTGATAGACGAGACTCTGTCGTGGAAGGAGCACATAAATTACATAAGAAAAAAAAATAGTCTCTCCAATAGGGATATTCAGAAGGCTAAGCTCAGTCCTTCCAATACAACTTCTTAGACCACTTTTACTTTTTTCATTGGTACATATCATCTCCAATATTTAAATATGATATGGTCAACGGCAAATGAAACTTTACTAAAACCAATAAAAACATTGCAGAACAGAGCCATAAAAAATATATACAAACTACCAGTTAGGTATCACACAATGGATCTGTACTCAAATCACAATATAATGTCGGTTGATAGTATCTACAAGTTTCAGGTGTGTCAATGTATACATGGAATTATTTTAAATGCCAAACACTCTGTCCTCAAATTTGATAGGAGGGCCCAGGTGCATGATCACAACACTAGGAGGCATAATGATGTAAATCTGCCTAAAATGCTCACCTGCAAGGGGCAAACCTCCATCTCATATAATGGAGCTAAGTTGTACAACGAACTCCCAGATTCTTTAACGTTGAATTTAAATATGCTAACATTCAAAGTACAACTCAAAAAATATATTTTTCAAGGACAAGGGGTAGGAAAATAAAAGTAGACTTGCTCTGACAGGATTCGTAGACTATTGGGGCTATTACTGTCCCATATATTTTTATAACAAAAGATTGGAGTAAAAATACCCAACAAAAAACCTAATATAGAGCTATTCTGAAACGCTGGGTCACACTGTACAGGGTGGCATACCATTTTCCTTCAAAAATATTCAATTCAAAATCCGTACAGACGCCACTGGTAGAAATAATAGAATTTTTTTCTACATCAAAATACGTATTTTGATGCATTGAAAACGTGCATCAAATTTTATAAAGATATCTATAATAACATCGGAGTTATTATGAAAAGTTTTTCTTTAGAAAAATTTACCGCTCTGTATCTACAAAGTTAAGACGTTTAGGATACACATTCATATAAAGTTTTTTTTCTTATATGTTCATGAATCACCCCCTTAAATACTAGCATGTCATTAAGGAACACCCTGTATATTAATTGAATTTCGGATTCTAGAATAAAAATAAAGGTAAGTTTTAGTAGAGAAGTATGACTAAAATGTAAAGCTTTTGACATATTATGCAGTGAATAGGAACGGAAGCATTTTGAGCATTTGATTTAATCTAGCTAGTTTTTGTAACATAATTGTACCTTTATATCTAGTATTAATTCTGTAATAATTAAAATATGTTTTAAACGTGTATCTTTTTATCACCATTGCTTATTTTACTTTACATTTTTTAATTTTTGTTAAATTAAAAAAAGATATATCACAGCCACCTAGATTTTATCAAATATAAAGATCTACTAATGCAAAATTATAAAAATTAAAATATCTAGAAAAATCTTAGGCAACCTTAATAATATTTTAAGATATATGAATTCTCCATTGAATACCGGATGTTCCGATTAAAATAAAGGAGTAACTTGCTTTTAGAAGTGACCAATGTTCAATATTAATTTTGTCTCACCCTGTATAACTTTCTGTGTCAAATTTTAATTTGGTTTAACCTTTGAATAAGAAGACTAAGGAAGGAGCTTATATTTTTCTTGCATTTTAGCTTTTATTTATTACTTGTCAAAGAATTTAGATACGTTAATTTGACTTACCTGCTTCAGTAGCGTATCGGATGTTTGTGGTAATAAATACTTATTATAACTTATCTATTTTTATTAGAATTATATATTTTTATAACAATTTTAATAACTACCAACATTTATTCACAACGTAAAATAAAACAACAAATTATTGAGTCTACCCCACGTCTATCCTACATCATAGTTTTACATTTTTTAAATAAAATTAGAATGACACTGATAAACCGGAATTTAAGTCGGCCATATTTGAGGCCCATCGCGGTGTACCTAAGATTTTTGATATGCTCCTTCCTTAGTCTTCTTATTCAAAGGGTTTAACATTCAATAGTTATTGTAATTAAATATTCGGCTATACAGGGTAAATTACAACTTAGGTAGCTATTATTGAAATTTAAAATGTATTCTTCATTTTCACAAAATGTGAAATATGTATATCAAAATCTTTACATTTTAGGCATATGCTTCTTTAATGAAACTCACTTTTATTTTTTTTAGACTCTGAAAATCAATATACAGGGTGCTTCAAAACAAATGCGAAAAACTTCAGGGGGTGATTCCTTGTTCAAAATAAAGGGTAGTTTGCTTTATAAACGTTGGGTCAAAAGTCAACCATTAGGGAGATATCGCGGTACAAAGATGGCGGAAAAATAATGTTTTTATTTTTTATCTTGAAAACGAAAAACGATAGACTAATGAAATTTTATGGAAGCATTACTGTTGTGAAAACATACTTTCTGGTAATTTTCTCACTTTTTTAAAACGAGTGGAAGGGGTTGAAATAAACTACCCCTATCATTCTTGTTAACGAAATTTAAAAAAAATCTTATCAAACACATGCAAAAAAATTAATTTGGATAGCTTGGTTTGTTTAGAAACTTTTTTATCTCTTGTGTTTCTTTGATAAAACTCGCCGATTTGAAATTGAAAAATAAAATGTAAAGCATTACATGTCAGGATAAAAAACATTTTTAGATAAAGAATCTAGTGATAATAACGCTAATAATAAGAATCTAGATAATAACGTATTGCAGTAGAGTAATGTCAATAAAATAATATTAGAAACATCCTAAAAAGTGACACGGGGTGACTAGATTTTTTCCTAAAAAAATTAGAGCAGCCCACTAGATTCTTTATCTAAAAATGTCTTTTGTCCTGACATGTAATGTTTTACATTTTATTTTTTAATTTCAAATTGGTGAGTTTTATCAAAAAAAACACAAGAGATAAAAAGGTTTCTTAACAAACCAAGCTATCCAAATTTATTTTTTTGCATGTGTTTGATAAGATTTTTCTTTAAATTTCGATAACAAGAATGATAGGGGTAATTCAACTCCTTCCACTCATTTTAAAAAAGTGAAAAAATTACCAGAAAGTGTGTTTTCATAACAGCAATACTTCCATAAAATTTCATTAGTCTATCTCTTTTCGTTTTCAAGAAAAAAAATAAAAACCTTATTTTTCCGCCATCTTTGTACCGCGATATCTCCCTAATGGTTGACTTTTGACCCAACGTTTATGAAGCAAACTACCCTTTATTTTGAACAAGGAATCGCCCCCTGAAGTTTTTCGCATTTGTTTTGAAACACCCTGTATAGGGTGTTTCATTACAAAAACCCAACTTTAATGCATAACTTTTTTTGGGGACACCCTGTTATTACTGTATTGTAAACCTGTATTTAACCTACATATGATCCCAAAATTTTTTTCAATATAAACTAACGTTCTCCTTGGATCCCCCGCGTCGTATGAGAGGCGCCACCCTGTATAGTTAATTTTTCAAATGTACATAGAATATAACTTATAAAGCACGAAACACTAGACATGAAAGAGAAAAAACAATTTTTTACCTATTATATGTAAAAGTCATTTACCTTATAAAATTCAGCAGATTGCTGCAAAAATGGACGCTCAAAATCCTCTTCATATACTGCCCTCGAATTTATTCCCAAAACCATCAACATCTGACAAGCATTTTTTATAGAAATGCGGTCTACTTTTTCTCCACGTCTCTCCCTCATCACCATTTCTAACAGAGTTTCTCTCAAATGATCTCTAATACAACCATGTCGAACAACCTATAAAATAAACAACATATAAAATATTAAAAACTATATTGCACACTAAGTAAAACTACCTGATCTCTAAAAATAATTAAGCCTAAATTATAAACATTATCCACATCATTCTGTTGGACATATACTCTATCCATATACATAAGTATATCACGAATCATGACCATAGAAGTCTGATGATCATTCCATGCTTGATTCAGTGTCATTAAAAAATTATTGTGTAGGGATTTCAAGACATCTTCTCGAACCTATAAACAAAGCAATAAAACTATCTTTGTTGATAAATACAATAATGTAAAATGACAGTAAATTTATTTATTCAAACTTACCTTAAACTCTAAATGATGAGTTACAACTTCCTTTAAACCTGTATAAAGTCGCTCTCCATGTTTATGGAGCACCATTGTGTATGCATTACGATAAAGTTCCTCAAAGCTTAGACCTGAGTTATTTTTTTTCTGTATTTCCTGTATTGCATTCTTTAAAAGAGCCCATATACTTTCAACATATTTTTCATCCATAGTCATCTAGTTAAATCAATTTATTTTTTAACACACTCAGATCAATGCATAAATATTACTATTATTACATTATCACCTGGAGGATTCCATTTCGTTGAATAATCTGAATGTCCACTCATAATTAATAAGCTAATCTAGGCTAAACATATTTTATTTTATTTTTAAGTATTCCGAACTTTTTATAATTGTATAAATATAAAATATGCAGATTGACAAAACAAAAATTTTTGTTTTAATTTGGATCGAAATATGACATGTATCATTGTGAATGATTGACAAAAGTATATTTTACCTTCAATTACCTTCCAATTTAAAGTCTACATAAATGTATATTATATTCTCCAAGAGAATAAAAGACTTAATTTAATCATCAATATAAATTAATTTAAAAATATAAATTGGAAATCTAATTTTACTAAGTTATACATATTATTTACTTTAAAACTCAATACCAAAAGTGTTTTTTTATGTGTAAAGAAAAATAAACATTTTCTAATTTACATAAGATTATTTAGATTAATTAAAAAAAAATATAATAGAAACCACTAGCTTTTGGAATCTCCAAGTGACATAAAAAAATGTATATTCAATTTATATAGAGATGTAATTTTAAATATGAAATATCATAAGTTTTGCTACTTTATCCAAAAAATACTCACAGGAAAGGCACGAATCCTCATTTTGCCTTCCTTCTTGGCTAAACTTCCACTCTTCATAGTTGACATAGTTCCTAACTTATTTTTTCGACCTTCACTAAATATGGTAATAACTTAAATTGCCATTATTTTACTGTAAAACCCAAATTTGCAAAAACACTAAAAAGCAACTTCATAGCCCAAAGTTCAACAAGAAAATAATGAAATTATTTTGTTTTTATAAGTGACAATGATCTTGTTTTTTAACATTGACGGACATTTTTCGGCATTGACGTTTTTCTTGGATTCAAGTTACACTGTCACTATACTTTCACTTATTTAAGACTTTACACAAACATATGTAATCTTGTGTACGTACTGGTGTATGAAAAACACAATTTTTTCAATTGTTCATCAACTAAGTTAAAAATACGAGAAATCCGTAATAACGCAGGGACACAGAAAATTATATTTATTTGTCATTTGCTCACATCACAACTGTTTTTATTAATGACAGTTTACAGGTGACATATGACACATGTCAAGAAAAACAAAGAGGAGCATTTGGATCAGAGATATGGAGTAGAGAGAATGAGCTTCGACTGTTTCGATCTATTTTTGATAATGCTCCTTTTTTAATTTTTTATTCAAAGTACCGCTAATCTTTTTAGAGTCTATGATAGTAGTCTAGGTAATAGTTACTTATTCTTCTTATTCTATGCCTCAGAGTGGCCTTTTATTATAGTATCGATCAGGTATCGATCTTGAATATTGATAGTATCTTATCTATGGAATGGCCTCAGCTCTCAGCTCAGAGTAAAGTGAAATGATGGTGAAATGTGTAATGATACATCCGTGGTGTAATGTAATTTTTAGCCTCCATAAATGTAATAAATAGCACTATGAATAGTAATAAATTTCATAATAAATAAAATAAGGACTTAAGGAGTGAGAAGTGAGAAGCTGTAACATTTCACTATTTTGAGTATTTTGTTCCCCATGCTGTATTTCAGTCAACAGTAGAATATGCCGAGTTTATGTATATAAAACCGGGGCCTTTGCCGGGGCTTTAGGTAATTAACAGAATTTAGTTTACATAATTTCTTTTTATAGCTGTATGAAGCTCACTGAATAACTTATAATTTTGTTTTATTTGTAGTAGTTTGAGAGGTAAAATTACTCCAAGTGACAACATACTAGCAGATTCCAGCCAATACTTAGCTTATATCTTTCACAAAATTGTCTGTTCCAAATGGCAAATGCTGATATTGATACTCCAGATTTTAGTAACTGGCTTGATGGCAAACTACAAGAACTTAATACAGATGAAACGGTTTTTGGTGCATATATTAAAGGCATTTTAGATAGCGATGAAACTACAGAAGAAAAATTAGAGGCTTTGTATGGAATATTTGCTGAAATTGTTGAAAATGTAATTAGTTTAAGAATCTGGATTTATAAACTCGAAAGTTGAAGTTCAGTTGTGGATCAATTTAGTTGGGAGCTCGCAGCAGCTGAAATTCAATAATTTTGCGTTTATAAACCATCCAGTTTCAGTGGTTAAGTTTGGAAATGTCTACATTTCAAATGTTTTCTCTTGATTTTAAAATACCTTGAAATATTTTTTGTTTAAACATAATAGTCAGCGCAGAATATAATCTGATATAAACAGAAATATTGAAACAATTCATGCGCATACTTATTTGATGCCGATCGTACCAAAACAGAAATATTGAAACAATTCATGCACATACTTATTTGATGCCGATCGTACCAAACTTCCAACTTAAACAACGCCCATCTCTGAACTCCGTGAAATTGGATGAATTGTGTCAACGTTTCAATAAACTGACTTTATTAATGAGCGCATTTATTTGATAGTGTTGAACATAATATGCTTACTCAACTGCGCTTCAATTTATAAGTTTATCAATCCAGCTTAATAGTGTGAAATCATTTTTTATTGTAGGATAAGGACATATCTAAAATCTGCAATGAAATTTTAGAAAATTGGCAATTACTGAAGCCTAAAGATCCGATATCTTTAATTTCTAATGTAGATTTAAATGATAAATTAGCAAAACTGCTTGAAAACCAATCCTTGGCCACTAGCAGACAAAAGGAATATACAGAGGAGGAGAAAAAAATTAGGTATTATTTTTTATGTCCATAATTGAAATAAAAAAAAATGACGCCGGGAGGCACGTATAGCCACCCATACTAAAATATGTTAATAAAAAGTTGGTAGGCAGTTCTTTTAGTTTCAAAGTAAAGGAATTTTTCCAATTTTTTTTTTATCTCAAAAACTGCGACTTTGACTGATTTTGATGTTATTACAAATTTTGTTGCAAATATTATTCCTAATCTTAAATGGAAAACCGCGTTTCGCTAGCTAGTGTAATTTTGGAGTTACGATTTTTTAAAATTTTTAACCCCCTTCCATACTCCCTTACCAACCCACCATCCCCACCAAAAACTAATGGCCAGATTCTCGGGTGCCACAGTATTTTTGTGCCAAATTTGGTTAAAATCGGTTTAGCGGTTTTTGAGTTATCGTGTTACAGACGGACAGACAGACACCATGAAAATATCATTCACAATTTCACTCATTTTGAGTGAAATTAAAAATACTTTTTTTTGACCGATCTTAATAGCCCACCATACCTATTGGTATGGTCGGCTAAAAATAGTAATAAAATTAAGAATGATTATATTACCATCTGAACAAAAGTTGGTCTTATAGTAAATATGATTGTAAAAAAATGGCATCAGTGATGGCTATGAAATGTACCCTTTGTTCATTTCTAAGCCAACTGGACGCCGGTTTTTACAATCATGGTATTTGAAGTGGTTAGCTTTAGTTCTTTTAAATCTGTCTAGTCCAAAGAAAATATATGCACGTCTGTCAGTTTTTAAATGTTATGCTATCAGTTGAGATATGTACTGTATTTTTTTAAAAATATAATTAAATTTTAATTATCTTAAAAACTTAAAACATAATTTTCTCTTCTGATTTATTTATTTTAAATAATATGGGATATATTAGTCTAACTTAACTAAAACTATGAAATGACTTAATTAAAAATAAACAAAACAGAAAATAATTATTTTACAAACATAAATGTCAAAGTAAAGTCTGGGCTAATAGCGGAATGGGCTCTTTCACTATATTTTGGAATTCACATAATTGAATAAAGCAATTAATTCTAGAATTGTCTGCTATCTCACTTTCGAAAAACTTGAAGTTGTTCTTAAGGAAATAAATAAAAACAAAAAGGCCCAGAATAAAAATCTGCACTTTATTTTTAATACGTCACACCTGGTATGTTGAAAAGCGGCAACACCGCCAGGCCACCATGCTGACCTGCGTAAGGTTATCATTTTTTTTTCGTAACGGTCCTTCTAGTATTTACTACATTTATTGTCTCTTGTAAAAAAAACGCCACATCGCATAGTTTTTGAGGAAAAAAGAATTGGAGAATTTTTTTTCCAAAACAGACCTACAAAATCTGCTTAAAAAAGTTCCAATATTTCCTTAATTACAGTTGAGGGTTGGAACCTTTGGTGTTAAACAGCAAAATAAAAACACTAAAGCACCACAATACACCAAAACACTTTTACTTTTACACTGGACGCGCGTTTCGCTAACCATGTTAGCATCATCAGCAGATGATTATAAACTAAAGTACAATCTACAAATTGAGCGTTTATATACTCGCCCAGTGGGCACCGAGTGGGCGTGGCAAAAACTAGCCAACCGAGTCAGAGCCAACTCGAGCGACCGGTTGCTGTTCATACCATCTGTTGGCTTCCTGATGTTACATGCACCCACTGTGCCTGTGGCTCTGAGACTTGTTTAATTTAAACATATCGGCTCTATCGGCGGCAACGCAAGATTTATCGCTCAATATATATTCGAAGCAGCTTAAATTACTATTAGTTTGCCCTTGATTACACGGTTAAGAAATTATAACAGCCTGACGCCCAGCGGATGTTTTATCCTTTGATTACCGTAATACAACAATTATTAGGTAATCCAAAGGATAAAACACCTCCACTGGAAAGGTCGGGTATTTATGAAATTTCTTGTAAAGATTGTAATCAGAAATATGTTGGGCAAATTTGAAGATCAATATTACTTTAAAGAACATTTAGCTCAGATAAGATGTGGTAGACCGGATAAATATTGCGTTGCCGAACATATTGTTGATAAAGAACATTGTATAGATCTTAATAATTTAAAATTAATTAAACAAGTTTCAAATTACAAGCAATTAGATGCATATGAAAGCATCAAAATCAATAAATGTAAAGATAGTATGAACAGAGACAACGGTCCAATTCCTTTAAGTTCTTTGTTCCTACTACTCTAGTGGCGGAAATCTAACTGTTACGCTCAGTTGGCTCTGACTCGGTTGGCTAGTTTTTGCCACGCCCACTCGGTGCCCACTGGGCGAGTATATAAACGCTCAATTTGTAGATTGTACTTTAGTTTATAATCATCTGCTGATGATGCTAACATGGTTAGCGAAACGCGCGTCCAGTGTAAAAGTAAAAGTGTTTTGGTGTATTGTGGTGATTTAGTGTTTTTATTTTCCAATATTTCCTCTATACAAGAGTGCCTCGTTTGTCCGTTAGAGAGCTCCAATCAAAAATAAACCCGAACAATTATTAATTTAAAATTTGTGAAGCTTGTTGTCAAATATCATTTGTGATACTAGCGTAAAACCAGACTCGTGTACTTGGCAAATAATTGTGATTGGCATACAGAGTCTGGTCATAGTGCGTCGTAGCTTCTATAAAAATAACTTAGAAATTTTGTATAGATGCCTGACGCACTAAGTCGAACCCTGTATGCCAATAACAACTGTTTGCCAAATACACGAGTTGTTTGATCGCGCCATAAAATGCCATATTTTCGCTATATTATTATACCGGGTGTTCCTGAAATAAGTGCAACTATTTTAAGGGGTGGTATTTCTCGCCAAAAGAAATATATTTTCTCTATACCATTTTTAAAATGAATTGATAATAACCGAGTTATTTAACTTTGAAATTTTTAAAAATAATGGCAACATTTTGAGAGCCGCCGATAGCAATCGATAACACAGCCACAAAAAAAAAGACAAGTGGGGTATACTTTTTACCAGACCATTATATCATATAGTATTTTTCGACGCTGAGCACGAATCCGCTATCAGAATTACGCTATCGCATTCCAGTTTATTTCTAACCTCAAAAAATTGGTAAAAATCCGTAAAAATTTAGGAAAATGTACAAAATCTCAAAATCAATTGGATAACATAAAAAATTCAGCTCATCAGCTGAGACCCGATTCTGTAAACATTTCTCCTGTCTAGTGACTCATCATTCGTATACAAATAGCATAGGCTAGACAAGAAATTTCTTGCTACGGAGCTTACAGAATCCCACTGCTGATCTGTTTAAATGTAGCATTGTATACTGTACATATCTAATAGAGGACGCTGATTCAAAAAATTCGGAAAAGCCTGGAAAAATATTTAATTTATTCAGTGTATTGTATTGTATTGACTAAGAGGGGCTCCCATGGGGACCCTCCACTGAGGCCGCGAGGGCCTATTGTGGCTCAGTTTCTACACGCTCTAATTTACAAGAGCGTCAAAGTTCACCCTCAAGACCCAGCCTCCTAATATAGGCGGTTATGTCTGAGGGCGATATGTCTCCTAGGTCTGATAGTCTAGCATGGGTTTGCCAAACATCTCAAACCTGGTCCTGCTCCCAGTGGGGCAGGTACACATAACGTGCTTCATTGTTTCGTCATCTTCCATACAGAGTCGGCATTCGGCGTCTTCCACCAGTCCCGTCTTCTGTAGGTGAGATCTCAGCCGGCAGTGGCCCGTGTACACTGCAGTGAGCACACGCGTTCCATTCCTACCGGCCTTTAGGAGTTCTCCTGTTCTATGTTTGGATGGCCCTGCTAGGATTTTCTTGGCATGTTCCATTCCGGGACTGTCATTCCAGTCCCGGAATGTCGCACTCCTAACCCATTCACAGAGCCTGTCTCTTGCGAGATTTTTAGGAACGCTAAGTGTCGGTTCTGGACCCACGAATGGCGAGCCTGCACCAATTTTGGCGAGGGAATCAGCACGTTCATTTCCCTCTAGGCCGACATGTCCCGGTATCCATATTAGCGACACTTTGTTCCTATCTCCCTGTATATTGAGTAGTTTCTTACAATGAAGAATCGTCATAGACGTGCTTTTCGTTGCCTCAAGTGCTTTCAGCGCGGCTTGACTATCCGAAAATATGCATATTGTTTTCTCCGGTGTATTGCTGTTCTACCAGCAGTTGCACACAGGTTTCAATAGCATATAGCTCAGCTTGAAGATGGTGGTGTGTTTTTCCAAGACTGTAGCAGATCTCAGTCTTTGGACTGCTGCAGTAAATTCCTGCTCCAGATCCTTTTTCGTTTTTGGATCCGTCCGTGTACCAACACATTTCCGCATGTAGTAAACCGTTTCCCGGCTTATCCCACTCGTCCCTATTCGGAAACAGGACGTTGTAGTGCGCGTCAAGAGTTGGACTGGTGGTGTAAGATCCGAGATCATTCCCAGAATCTCATCCGACTGTAGTTCTTCTACTAGCCGGTTTTGTATGAACATAATTGTTCCTTGGCTTCCTCGTGCTATATTTAGAAACCTATATGTAGCCCATCTCGCCTCTCTTTACAAAAGAATTTGAAGAGGAGGTAGGTCGAGTAGGGTTTCCATAGCTTTTGACGGCGTGGAATGGAAGGCACCAGTCACCGCTAAGCATGCTTGTCGTTGTAGTTTGCCGTTGTTTGGCTGCCACCAGGCAACTGCACCATACGTGATAATAGGTCTGATGGCCGTCACGTATAGCCAGTACATATTTTTGGGGTTTAATCCCCAGTTTCTACCACAAATTCGGCGGCATGCCCATAGAGCATAGCAAGTGGAGAGCAGTAATAGAGCACATCAGTGTCATCCACAGAATAACTACAGAACGATCAGTCAATGTAATAAAAAAGCTAACAAAATTTTTGCTGCCATCTATAGTGGGCCGAGTGCGGCTCAGGGCTTCAAGGTTAAATTATGTACACTCCCCTCGCTCCTCGCACCGCTAAATCAAATTTTAATTTCATATATAATTCAGAATTGTTATTAATCCGAATGGGCATCTTATTATTAAATAAAAAATGTCAATATAGGCTCACGGGCCTACTCGTGAACCTATATTGATTTTTTTTATTTAATTAGATGCCCATTCGGAGTAATAACAATTTTATTTTAAATAAATAAAACACATTAATTAATTATAATATATTTATTACTTTTGTACCGTTTTTTTTAGATCTAAACATATTAGAACATAATTGCTCGATTGAATTCTTATTATCGGGATAAATATCGAGACACATACACCAGTAAAGATGAGACACGAAAAATGGAACTGGCCAAACAACAAACTACACACGTGAACGCTCGTATAAAACTGACGCGACGCGTAAGAGCGCGGGCAACTAATGGTTTGAAGAGTGGGGAGTCAATCAAACCAATCATAACGTTTAAAATTGATATGCAATAATCACTTAATCAGGCAACCAAATATACACGACTTTAGTTGCGCCATCTATAGTGGGCCGTTAATTTCTAATTTAACGCTCCATAAGAGTGACTGGGCCCTGGTGTCATCGGACTCTTTTTGGTGGAATGTCGATTTCGGAATATTTATATCATGAGTTCGCCGGTTTAAATTGTTTAAAAGTTTTTGATGTATTTATGTAGAATTGTTTGATGTGTAAAAGTTAAAATAATATTCTGCTAAAAGTTCTAATATGTGACGTTCAGTTTAATAGATATATGGATGTGCACGTGTTTGCGCTGGAAAGGTTATTTAAAATAGTAGATGGTGCACCATACTTAATAGTAGTCTACAATTATTAAAAAATCTATAATGAATAAAATTAATTTAATTAGTTTTTTTTTGTAGAAATTTAAAAATGTGAACTTATAAACATACGGAATGTCGATAAAGTAGGAGATGGCAACATTGCATTCTCTCCATGTTCCGTAAACAAATTTCCGGAGACTGAACAAGCGGCACTCGAAAGTTTTTCCGGAAAATGTCATGAAAAATATAATATTTTCAACATTTTTTTTCGCAAAAAATCGTGGGTGTGTGTCTGGGGTCCAACTGTACTACCAGTTAAGATACTTGCACTTATTTCTGGGACACCCTGTATATTAGCACATACTAGATTTTATGCGTCTACATAGTTTGATGTAACAAGAAACGTTTTTTATAGTAGTTTATAGTCAGCTTCGGAAAAAAAAACATTTTTATTGAGGAACATTAAACCAGATATGTATTTGATTGAAAAAGTCTGTAAGTTTGACTTCCGTCGTGATTTCAGTCGTTTAGCTTCCATTACGCTTCATTTTCCTCAGCCCATTGTAGGCAGTTATTTGCTGAATATAGAATAGACGTATGACTGTAAGCAGTTTTGTTGACTATATTTTAGTTTCTAGTTAATTTTTCTTTTAAATAAACCATACATATAAAAAATATTCCTTTACTTTTTAGGGATGCAATTTTATCTCAGTATAGTCAAATGACCGATTCAGAAGAGGAAGATGAAGATAAACCTACAGGAGAAAGTAAATCTAAGGAACTAGAAAAGAATATAAATGCTCAATTAGTAGCTGACGCAGAAAAGCAAAAGAGAGAACATTCTAGATTGGAAAGCCAAAAGAAGAAAGAGAAGGATAAAGAAGATAGGTAAGCGCATTTTTATAAGTCTCTCTGGCGAAGGAACATACCAACCTGCCCATTCTAAATCGGTGGTCTGTATTTTAATGAGTAAGATAAAGGTAAAGGTACTTAACATAGTCTAAGATCTGACGACATATTTAGATAACATATTTTAGGCAAGTTAGAATAACAAAAAAAATATACTTTATTAACTGGTGAACCCAGAACCCTAAGTCTGGCAGAGTGGTTGCGGTTATTTCGCTACTGCGCAACCCATGATATTTGCAAAAAAATATATCAAAAAAATATCCTTTAGGCAACTTGAAATTTGTTTATTCATAAATTTTTGCATCTATTTAACCCAGAAATAAGTACGCCAGACTTTTTTCCGGTCTTAAAGTGTAACCCGACCAACCCAAATATATTTAATAATTATACCTGGAAAATATACTTGTATTAGCGTGTTTATTAGATAATATTAAAAAATACGTGTTAATCGCCAGACAAACGGTTGTTAATACAATATAAGTTGATAGAGGTACAATAAAATACAGGATTGCCGATTCCTACGTGCAGTACGTTTACTTGGTCGGTTTATTTTTTATGAGAAAAAAATAACTTTAATAACAATGCATCAACAGCATCCTCGTCACCCTTGTTTATATATTTTTAAAGTTGTTCAACCGACTAGACAAAATGTGCTGCCAACTGGAGGACAAATCGTGAACCTTTCGGGGCGGAGTCAAAAATATCGATTATTTTCGTTATTTTCCTCAGAGTAATGTAATAATATAGCCCCGGGTTTCTGCGAACTTTAATAGTGATCAGCTGATTAAGAAATTTAAACAAAACTTTTATTTTATTGTAAATTGTGGATTATTTTTGCCTGTTATTTTAAGAATTCTAAACCGTATTAACAAAGAAATTATTATTTCGATATGTTGGTACATTATTTATAATAATTTATGATAATGCTAATTGCTATTAATTAATATTTAAAAAAAACTTACATACCTATTTTAATTTGATTTAATGCAGGTTTATAAAAGAATCATTTCATTCTTAGATTATTTTATTCTAAATTGAGTGCTTTACGAATTTTACGATATTTTTTTTGAAAACATAAAACTTTTTACATTCTTGATGCCAACTAATTGGCATGGTATTATTGGTATGGAAATTAGCCAAGAAAAAAAAGAATTGGCTATAACTTGTAATTTTTCGAAAAAAACATATTATACCTACCTATATCGGTGAAAAGCTTAAAAAATATAACGTTTGTGTCATATATGTCAAAAATGACAGGCTTTAGAAAAAAAAAACAGAAAACACAAACTCATTAGGTATGCGATTATCTACAACTTTTATGTGAAAACTTTTTGTCTAAAATACCGTATGATCAAATAAAAACGGCGTCAGCGATGGCTATGAAATGACGATCGATGATATTTCCCATATAATTTTACATATAAAATGACAGCGATCTTCATTTCATAGACATCGTTGACGCTTTTTTTATTCGATCATACGGTAGATTATAATGGAATTAGAGACAAAAGTTTTAAAATAGCCAAAATTTGTTTTTTTCGAAATATCTAGTAAGCCTTGAACTTCTCCGAAAAATCCGAAAGGCGCATATTTATGACCCCACAAAACTGCAATTCTTTCCCCATTTAACTCTCTGACTCTATCTCCAGTCTCCAGTAGTTTCCGAGATACCCATAGAGAACATCGTAGGAAACTCACCCTGTGTAGTATTTAGAAACTAACTATTATTATTATTTGGCTAGATTAATTTGATTAATAAGACTCGATTAATTTAATTTAAAATAAATTTGATCAGATTTTTTTTTCGTATATTCTACTACCAGAAAACCAAAATTATATGATAATGCACTTTTCAACGAAGTTGAAGGAAGATATAGTGTATCTATCACAATACTTAATAGAATTACTACTATTAGAAGAAAAACAAAAAGAAAAAATACCCAAATACCTTTACCTACTACTCATCTACAAAATAAACTAATATAATCTCTTATAAAAACACTACACAACTACTTCTTGTATTCTACACTGAAAAAATTATCAAACTTACTAATTAATCAAACAAAAAGAAAAAATAACCAAATTATCCCTTCACCTACTACTTAACTACAAAATAATAAACTATAAAAACACTACTAAACTATTTGTGGTATTCTACACTAAACATTATAATTAAACTTAATAAAATTAATCTAATTTTACACTACAACCACTACAAAGAAATAAGAACATTTTTTAAAACTAGAATAAACTGAACTTTGATACGTGCGACCAGTATAATAGATCAAGCGGACAAAGAATATAAAATACTTTAAAAAGGTGCATTCAGAAAGAAAAAATATCTCGAAAATTATCTAAACAAACATTTTTTTTCTTATCAGTGAAAAGCATCGGCCTCGTCGGCCTTGCGGAATTTGTCGGGTATTTACAATGGTCGAATTGTATAATTACCAGCTTTTATAGCATATCTAATAGACAAAAAGTATCTGGTCGATTAGTAACCAATTGGCACAGTCCGAAAATTATCGGTTTTTATTTTCTCTGTTTTTATTGGTCGCTTCAAAATTCAGAGTAACAAAAAATATTTTTCTGTAGTAAAAGACCGTGAAATATGCCCCGCCATCTGGTGCTTTACATCCATAAACGTCTTAGGTTGAGCTACTTTAAAAATCCATATACAAGGTCGTCACATAATAAAATCTGTATTGCCGTTGTCATGTTATGACGCTTTCTGATAACAGTTTGTGTTTATTGCTAAACAGTACTTTGCAACAATGGGAAAAAAATTATCTGAAAAAATACCGCCCATCATAACTATACAAGGTGTCTCAGAAATAAGTGCAAGTATTTTAAGGGGGGTTCTCTTTACCATTTTTAAAATAAATTGATAATAAATTGAGTTATTTAACTTACGAACGAAAATTTAAAAAAATAATGGCAAATTTTGAAAGCCGAGATATTTTTTGATTTTTTGGTGTATTGTGGGGAATTAGAGTTGTATTTTGCTGTTGTAACACCAAAGGTTCCAACCCCCAACTGTAATAATGTAAAAAGGTTATTTAAATTAGTAGACGTTGCACCATACTTAATAGTAGTCTACAATGATTAAAACAATCTACAATGAATAAAATTAATTTAATTCTTTTTTTTTTGGAGAAACTTAAAAATGGGAACTTATAAATATGGAATGTTGATAACGTAGGAGGTGGCAACATTGCATTCTCTTCATGCACCGTAAACAAATTTCCGGGGACCGAACAAGCGGCACTCAAAAGTTTTTCAATATTTTCCGGAAAATGTCATCAAAAATATAATATTTTCACAATTTTTTTTGGCAAAAAAATCATGGCCGTGTTTCTTGGGTCGAACTATACTCAAATACTCTGCTATACTACCAGTTAAAATGATTGCACATATTTCTGGGACACCCTGTATATTATATGAAACTATGTATAACCAATAAAAAATGTTGTGGTCCCAAACAACCGGAATAAAGAATTAAAAATGCTCCGAAATTCAAGCCATTTGAAACGGACATAAAAAGTTGTTCGTGACTTCAAAAAGTATAATCACGTGAGCGACTCGAAAACACAGCCAGTTTTATTGTGCACTACACACAAACTATCGAAAACTGGCAAGTTGCAGAACCCGCCTTATCCCAAAAGCGTTGTTTTGAGATAATCAGCAAAAAGTGTTTTAGCAATTATTTGAAGCCTTATTTTACAAAAAAATTGGCGCGGGGAGGCACGTATAGCCGCCCATGCTAAAATATGTTAATAAAAAGTTGGTAGGCAGTTCTTTTAATTTCAAAATAAAGGAATTTTTCCAATTTTTTTTATCTCAAAAACTGCGACTTTGACGATTTTGATGTTATTACAAATTTTGTTGCAAATATTATTCCTAATCTTAAATTGAAAACCGCGTTTCGCTAGCCAGTGTAATTTTGGAGTTACGATTTTTTAAAATTTTTAACCCCCTTCCATACTCTCTTACCAATCCACCACCCCCACCAAAAACTAATGGCCAGATTCTCGGGTGCCACAGTATTTTTGTGCCAAATTTATTATTCCTAATCTTAAATTGAAAACCGCGTTTTGCTAGCTACTGTAATTTTGGAGTTACGATTACGGTAATGGTCGGCTAAAAAATGTGTACATTAAGTGGAATCATTGTTTTGTATCTGGTATTTGTAGAAATAAAAATTAATATTTAATTTTTAAGGAGAAAAAAAACAGACAAAACAATGATTCCATTTAATGGACACGTTTTTGTGCACGTCGTGTTTTGCTACAGTAAGAATATTGGAATTATAAGGTATGCTATTTTAGTAAAATTAAATAAAAAGCAAATATAAGTGGATAAGACGGATTTTGCTGCAGTAACGTAATTAGTAGTGAATTTTATATAGGACTAGGCGACTTTTGTTGCAATTTGAGACTATGTTTACCCAAGTAGCATTTTCACGACTTGCGACCACATGTTTACTAAACACAACGTTGGATTAGTTACAAAAAATAGTTATCTCCCTACATTGGGTATTAAAATAAATTTAAACGTTTTTATAACGTTGTGCCGACGCACAGTGCTTCGTCCCATGGACAAAAATCAAAAAATAAGTTAAAATTTACTAATATCTGAATATATAATTTTATACTTATAGCAATGTTCAACCATCCTGTATATTATTTTTCATAAACAGCGTTTTTGTTAGCAAATATTTTCACTAAAAATAAATTTTGCGATCATTATCTCGTCAGTGAAAAGAATAACATTCATAGTAGTGCTGTATATTATGGAGTTAAACGGGTACGTACTTAATTGAAAGCCACTATGGATATTGTTAAACAAGGTATGTACTTTAAATTTATTTCTAAACAAGTTCGTGATTGTTTAGTTTTTATTTATTTTTTAAGATGATTCTTAAATGGGTATAAAATTTTACGTTTTCAAACTTCAAAAAGGCATTTAAAAAAACATCA